CAATACGACTCACCACGTGTTGAATATTGCCACACACAGTGACGGAATATAGGGATTTGGTAGGTTTCCATTCTAAAGGCTTTTTAATAAATATGGCAACATTCTGTGACGTTTCATTGTTGCTGACGCGTAGTCCGGTGTTTTGTGAGTCACATGAAGCCAACAGAAGTTACGTAACGCATACAGTTTTTTTTATAGTTTTTCATTTCTTGATGCGTCCTTAATGTGTCGGAATATACCGCGTTTACCCTATATGTACCGGTATTCACTGATTTCAAGTCGTAAATAAATTAATAGATGATGAAGTTGAGAAATGGATTTAGACACATGAAAACTAATTCCGACACAAGTTGAATTGGACACACACAGATCGTTCCAAGCTTTATACAAAAATTGAAATTTGCTTAATTAAAAGCCTAATAGCTGTTAATTAAAACGTAATTAAGTAGTGTTCAATATTCGTTAGTGTTATAATTCAAAGCCGTGTTTTATCCCAATACAGCTCACACAGCGAACGGAATTCGAACACGTCAATGTCGGCATTACCTACGTATCAGTTAAATTTGAAGCACTGACGCAATACAACTCACCACATGTCAAATATTGCCACACACAGTGACGGAATATAGGGATTTGGTAGGTTTCCATTCTAAAGGCTTTTTAATAAATATGGCAACATTTTGTGACGTTTCATCGTTGCTGACGCGTAGTGAAGTGTTTTGAGAGTCACGTGAATGCAACAGAACTTACATAACGTTTTTTTTATAGTTTTTCATTTCTCGATGCGTCCTTAATGTGTCGGAATATACCACGTTTACCATATAGGTACCTATGGTACCTATATAAGCTATGCTATGCTATACCTATATAAATAAGCTATGAGACCTATGCTATATAACTGGTTAATGTTACTCCGTTGTGGCTGCCATTAGGTGGTCAAAGTTCCCCCATTTGGGGGCGGCGCCCCCCATTTGCAAACTATGACACTTTTCTAAAATTTGTCTTTTGCATATGTAACTAGAAGAGTTCTACTACAATGTATTGAAACCTGGAGTTATTTTACCAAAAAAAAATAAAAAAATTGGAGGGGGTACTCTGACAGGCTTTAAATAATAGCTCTTTTTCGTGAATCGTGAGTCGCATTATTAATTTTTTAACCTATTAGATATGCAAACTTTTCAAATCTTTCTATTGTGTTACGGTACGTAGCCTCAGTATTAGGCCTTTGATGGTCATTGACAAAATTTTTCTATGTCAAATAGTTTTTGAGTTTCGGGAGTTTTTGTTAAAAAAATAAAAAGTGGTCAAAATTACCCCGCCGGTCAAAGTAACCCCATTTTACGGTATGCTCTGCATGCTTCAAATGTTTTAAAATGAAGTTTTATTCCAAGTGTCCCAAGTAGCCCCGTTTGATGGGGCTACTCGCACTCTTTTTTTGCTTCTGGCACCTTACAAATAGCATATGGAATTTTTTTGACAATGCCATTAGATAGCCCTTGCAATGAGCTATAAAATGAGCTTAAACTTGTTTATGAAATGTTTCATCATAAGAAGTTATTAACAGTTATTAACAAAAAAACGCTCAAAATTGTCCCGAGTAGCCCCGGTTGACGGTACTCACTGCAGTGAGTGACAGTGCGCATTTTCTCGTGGACGAAAACTTGAGGTCACAACGGACAGACAGACGGACATGGCGAGAACAATAGTGCATTTTTTCCATAAATGAGAAAATGTGCTAAAAATGCTATAAGGCTGCTGATATGAAGCTTGCAGTGGACAAGGTTGTTGTAAATGCTTGATGGCATGTTCATGGATATGGTAATATTGCATCAGTAATACGGTAATTAATGTATATGGTAAATTGATAATATCATATCAATAAAGGAAAAACAAGTAAAAATCACAGAAAGTGTCATTTATTCTATCTCTATATCATCTACGATGAAAGAGGAGGACTTCAGAGTACTGTTAGTAATGGATGAGTACTTTCTGCATGCTTCAAATGTTTCAAAATGAAGTATTATTCCAAGTGTCCTGAGTAGCCCTGTTCAACAGGGCTACTCAGGACACTCTTTTTTTGCTTCTGGCACCTTACGAATCGCATATGGAATTTTTTTGGAGAAACCATGTGATAGCCCTTGCAAAGAGCTTTGAAATGAGGCTAAACTTGTTTATGAAATGTTTCATGGTAAAAAGTTGTGAATGAAAAACATTCAAAATCGTCCCAAGTAGCCCCAATTGACGGTAGTAAATATATGATTTTTTGACTTGCTTTATGCTACATAGTTAGATAGGAAAAATGTTGAACTTTAGGCCACTATTTTTAGTTGTGCAATATTCCCATTAGTTTGGTTGCTACAACATTTCCATGAAATGTTGGAGGACTGTCCTGATTTACCCCACACGTTTCTTATTGCCCCATTTGATGGCATATGCTTAAATTTTGTAATGTGTTTTGTTTCCCATTTCCGCCTTTTTTTGCAGATCTGCAAATGTAACTGCAAAATTTAGATATGAGGTCAATTTTCAGAAATTATTACATAGTTGAACAGTAAGTGCAGACAATATTGTTTGCATATAAAATGATCTGCCAGTTGCCAAGAGGATATTTTGGGTGAGTAATTTTGAGGATGTTCTAAGACTTTCCAATGAAAATTGATGCACATAATTTTTAAATTTTTCTGTACAGAGAAAATGGAAAGTAGGTGAAGAGAACTATGCTGTGACAACTCTCTGAACTGGAGTTGTGAGCTCTCTGAGTTCGCCCACTGTATTCAAAATTAATTTTAGGGTGACTCAAGTGCTTTCACAAAATTTTCATGTTAAAATATTTATATACGGTACATTTGTTCAAACATTAATCCTTACTGAAGTATTGCTAAGTATGATTTAGTTTTATATACACATTCAAAGCCTTTCTTATTGGCTGAGGAAGAATGAGTGCCTGAATAAGTGTCAATTAGTTATATGTAGTTATTAATTCTTCGTGAGACCTTTCACATGTTGGATATTTTTACTCACATTTAGATGAATGGCTTGTGTCAGTCAAAATGCTCTCTATTTGCAGCTATGTGGTGCGTGTAGTAGGGACAACTCAACTATCACATGTGAGGCGCAGGCTACAGCAGTCAAGGCCCCACAAACAAGTGAGTTAGTTCAGTATTGAATAAAGCTATTATTAAAATGCATTTTTAGCCCATTTTCTCATTTATGAAAAAATGCACTATTGTGCTCGCCATGTTTGTCTGTCCGTCCATCCGTCCGTGACCTCAAGTTTTCGTCGACAAGAAAATGCGCGCTCTGTCACTCACTGCAGTGAGTACTGAGTTATATTTTTTATTGTGTTTCTGAAGAGATTGCCATTACTTACAGGGTTTACTTTAACTCTGATTTTGAGAATGTTCAGAGGATATTTATGTTTAAAGAAATGGCAATTTAATTCTGAATTAAAATTTCTATAATTTTTTTAAACTTGAATCTGAACTGAATACAATATTTTTTATAATTGCCGAAAAATAATGTTATTAATAGAATTAAAAAACATCTTGTTAGATGTAGGTATGTATTCAGTTTTGTTAATATTTTATTTTTTCTTATTGGATTTACGGTACTTGTACGTATTCAAAAAGAGATTGTTGTTGAGATGCAATCTAAAAGTGCCTGCTGTGTTGAAATATTTGACAGAATCCAGCAAATAATTTGAATAATGAAAATGGACTTTAAACACTTGCAGAAATATAGGTACCTACTTATTTCAATTTTCAAAAAAAGCAATTGCAATTTTGAGATAATTGTTGAATCATGTTGGTGGTGGAGCATTAGTGTTTCTTCGTTCATGCAATATTTTCATTTGTAATGCAACTTTCCCAAGTACAAACTATTTTACTGATTGTGTCAGTGGTGGTGAGACACAACAGTTAACTCTCATCTGCACAAGTAATGTTTGCCTTGCAAGTCAGTTAATTGCAAAGTATTTATTAGAGTATCGGTGAAAATGAGGCATTAGTTCTCTTGTGCAATATTTTCAATGTGAGTCAATTTATTACAAGTTATTCATCAGAGTGTGTCGGTTGTGGTGAGGCATTATACTGCACTCTCACATGCCTCTCACCGCTCCCTGCTTGTGGGCGCTGGTGCAAGCACCACGCCAGTGCGCGGTGTGGGACTGCTGGTGGCCAGGGTGCTCAGAGGCGCCCTCAAGCTGCGTTACCTGCTCCTTGGTGGCACAATTGCTGGTGGCAGTGCTTTGGCAAAGGTGAAAAAATCTAATTTCTATAAAAATCTCTAAATCTAATTTATATTTTATATAATACAGGATGTGTGGATATGAGAATATGATTTCCTGAAAAATTTTAGGTTTTCATGTATATACTACTATACTACTGTGTTACTGCTTCTACCTGGTCCTTGTACTTTTAATGTTTGGGTTGGGAAAATCAGTGTCATGTTTACATTCAATCATGGTCATTGTGATAGGCATAAATTTCTGCTACTCGGACATGTAACAGCTTCAAAACTGAGTGTTTATTAAAAGAGTTTTAAATTGAAGACCCGAAATTAGCATTCCGTCAAATTGCTTCACTTGTGATAATTCTTATGTGCTAGAATCTAGCTAGATTTCTCTTCATTGGTTGCACAGAGAACAAAATATAGTGTCATGTTTACATTCTTTCATGGCCATTGTGATATGCATAAACTTCTGCTGCTCGGACATGTAACAGCTTCAAAACTGAGTGTTTACTACAAGATGTTTAAATTGAAGACCCGAAATTAGCATTCCATTAAATTGCTTCACTTGTGATTATTCTTATGTGCTAGAATCTAGCTAGATTTCTCTTCATTGGTTGCACAGAGAACAAAATAGAAAACTTGATTGTGCTGTTTATCAAATGAATAATTTCAAATAAAATTTGCTCTAAGCAATTTAATGAAGAGTCTCAAATGCATAGGTAACAACTTTGGTTTATCCCTGAAATTGATCCATTAAACCAAATTTGCCTTATGAAATTGGTCCATTAAATGTTACCTGAAATAACTGTTGTACTAATCATTATTTGTGATTATAAATATCACTAATGCATTTGATACTTCAACAGACTTATGAAGAATGGAAGGCTGCTCTGCCAGACTCAAAGTTCCTGCAGGACTTGTTGCCCTCGGCTGAAGAGGTTGACAAGATGCGGATGAAGCTCCTTGCATTTAAAGACTCAATTAAAGATGCGGTGCCTGACTTTCAACTTGGTAAGGCTAATTCATATTACCTTGCCCAAAATCATCACAAATCACATTTAAAGACTCCATTAAAGATGTGGTGCCTGACTTCCAACTTGGTTAGGCTAATTCATATTACCTTGCCCAAAATCATCACAAATTTGATGTTTGATATCATGTTACTTGTATTATTTTCTGATCTTGTCTTATTAATTCATTTACAATTTTCAATTCTACTGAAGTTAATCTGCTGCAAAATATACTTAATAATGCTCAGAGCTGAGAGTAAGGTTGTATTAAAAGTACTCAAATAATGTATACTGCGTTATCATTTTGCAGTGGAAAATAATATAGTGGCATGTTTCACACTTTTAATATCTTATGCCGCTCATAAAATGTAATTTATATGAAGTTTTATACAGTTTTTTTACTATAATAAAATCTCCAAGTCAAGTATACTGACTTTTATGGTAAGAAAATTAGAAGAATCGAGGCAGAAGGCACTGAGAATGCGTCTTCTAAATAAGGTAGTAAACATCTTTAATTAAGCTAAGGGAAGCGTGCATGCGAGTCCATGTTATTTGAAGGCTGAAGATACAACAATTACATTTGATAATAATGACAGTAAACCAGAGACAATATTTTTACAATCACGTGCTTCCTTCTGAAAGCCGTTTCTTCTGCTCTAGGTTCTGATTTTTTTCTTTCTTTATTCATTTTGATTCGTGTCTTGTCAACGGTGATAAATGTTTTGTCTTGTTATATTTTATAAACGTAACTTGTATCTTATAATTAATATGCAATATTTCACCCGTTTGTGAGTTAAATCGTATGTAAATACTTTGATGTTTATTCATGGTGACTTGAATCATTTGTGTAACCATCATCTACTGTGGGTAACTCAACTTATACAGCATTGGCGATGATAAGTATCTGAGGACGATGGAAGTACCATTTACATGGATGTTTTCTTGCTTTAAAAGTGTCTTTGTTTTTTGACCCGTTATCTACAGAGGGTAATTGGAGTTATATAGCGTGGACTAAGGTTAAAGTCTGAGTATATAGGGTTAACAGACGTCAAGTTTATTATAGTACACCAAAATGTTTCGTCTTCAGACCCTCGTCTGCGTGAGTTAGGCGACGCGCGCTACGGGGAGCTGGTGTCGTGGTTCAACAAGCGTCTGGATGACGCCATCCGCGCTGCTGAGGAGGAGAAGAGAGATGCCTCGCAACCTATATTCACGGAGGGTGAGTGCTTCAGTAGCTTAATTTAGCAGGACATTGATCTATTTATTCAAGAGAATAGGTCATCTTAGCTCAAGAGAATAGGTCATCTTAGCTCAAGAGAATAGGTCATCTTAGCTCAAGAGAAATAGGTCATCTTAGCTCAAGAGAATAGGTCATCTTAGCTCAAGAGAATAGGTCATCTTAGCTGAGGGTGCGTGCTTCATTAGCTTAATTCAGCTGTACATTGTGGGAAATTCGCCACCTCTGCTTATTTTTTAGATTAATTTATTCAACAGAATATTTCATATTCACTTATGGTGTGTGCTGGAATAGCTTAATTCAGCAATGCATCAATCAATTTACAGGATAGTTCATATTTAACAAGGGCAAATATGAACATGTGCAGTTTTGTAAAGACTCTGGATAGCATTCCATCTATCTGTATCTCGGTTCTCACTTCTCATTATTCTGGTTCCTTTCCATTCAATAATTAAAAAAAAAACTCAGGTTCATCATTCCTAGATTTATTCTTCCACGTTCCACTATTCCATGAATAATAGTTTGCATTATTGCCCAATTTCATATCAGGCGTGTGTGCACAAAAGAATATGAATATTTACTGATTGGACACTAATTGATGGCAATTCTTGGAGGCTAACTGGAGCTAGTGAAGCCACAGGTTTGTGGACTTAGATTATGGTGACAAATTAGCTACATTTTTTGTTTGTACAACGTTATTTTTTGTGCCCGTCATGTTATAACATCTTATATTCATCAATAACATTAACTCATTGAGCTTCCTTTAAATGGAGGTTTTCTAGACTGGGTGCAGGAGGAGGATAACTAATTAATCTTAATCTTATCCAAGTTTCTTTGAAAATATGAGCTCTTATTAACTTCATCTCATTTTTTGTGTTGTACAAAATTTCATCTCATTTTGTGCTTCTGTTATGCAGTCTAAGCCTGTTTTTGATATTTTTCTCCATTATAATAGCGGAATTTTCAATGGTCCCATTTATTGCTAGGTATTTCTAAATTGAATTAAATAAAATACATAAGAAATTCAGAAAACATTTCAAAGTTTTGAAATAAGTAAAATAAAATATGGCTTGGCTTTTATTTTTTGTGAAGGTTGTGTTAAAACGATATATTTTTACAAAAATGGTAACTTCATAATTTTGAGCAACAAAACAAGTATGAAATAATTTCATTTCAGTAACATTAAATCATTTGATATCATTTAGAAAATAATTATTACGTTGTAGCGGTTCCCGGTAAGCCCGCACAAATATGCGAGACTGTATCTCTTGAGTCCTTGGTCATGGAACAAACACTGAATGTGGTCAGAAGGAGTCACATTCAGGAAGGCATGAAACATAGTCATCTTAGCTGAGGGTGAGTGCTTCATTATCTTAATTTAGCAGGACATTAATCTATTTATTCAAGAGAATGAGTCATATTAGCTGCGGTGTGTGGTTCATTAGCTTAATTTAACAGGACATTGTGGGAAATTTCTCACCCTTGCCTATTTATCTATCAAATTAATTCAACAGAATAGTTCATCCTCACTGAGGGTGTGTGCTTGAGTAGCGTAATTCAGCAATGCATTGATCAATTTATGCAACAGAATAGTTCATATCAGGGTGAAATTCTAGAAATGGAAGTTCACTTATAAAAAGCTTTCCACCCCAGGTGGAATGCTTTCCTTAGATACAGTGCTCTGCCAAGTGCCAGGTGACTGACTATAAATGATAAAGAGGATCAAAAGAAGAATTTTGTCTCAGTAACTTTTACTCTGCTTAAATATTACACCAAGGGGAACAAGAAACGAGATTAATAAGATGCACATGACACTTGAAAGGTAATGAAATAAAACATGAAATAAATTAAGGTACAATATTAAATGAATGATTCTACTGGATATTATAGCTAATGTTCTGCGGCCCTCTTCAACGTGATAACTTCACTTTAATCTATCTAAGCTATCAAACATACCAGCTTGTTGACATCAAGTAATACGATTTCATTTAGATGATTAGAATGATTGTTTGATTCACTTTCCATTTTTCTTTGCTGTAAGTTATGAAGTTTTATGTAACATATATTTTTCAATATGCAGTCTTTACAGTACATAAAATGAGCTTCACTGCTGCTGCTGTACTTTTTTTAAAAAAACTTCACTTAAGGTTTTGACTATTTTTGTTTTTTTTAGAGTACCACTCTTACCACCTCAATTTTGCTCATTTTTTTATTATATATTATCTAGTTTAGTTTTTGTACCATTAAAGTTCAATCACCTGTTTTCAAAGTATCTTATTTAATTTTGGATTATGATTCCTAGAATTCCAGGGAATCCTTCCTTATTATATGAGGATTCCTAGTCATTGTCTTGTGTTGGAGTGCGAAGTGATCTGGTCATTGATTTTAAACATTGTAGACTTTAATTTATTTGTTATGACTAATTTGCTTCTTGCTTCAAATGCTGTTTCATTTAAATCAAAGACTTGAAATGATGGCAAAACTTTCATAGTATTCAACCTAATTTCTTATTTGCGTCATCATTTTCAATAACTCAATAACCCTCATTGGAATGCATTGGTAAAAATGTACCTGCGTTCGGTACGGTTATAACGTAGCAAAACTATTCAGTCTGACAATTGTTAAACTAATTATTTGTCAGGTAAAGATGCTGGTCATTATGAGACACTAAAGTCTTGTAATTGGTCATTTTGAGACATTAAAATCATTGTAATTGGTCATAATGAGACACTAAGGTCATTGTAATAGGCCATGACGAGACATCAAAGTCATTGTAATTGGTCATTATGAGACATTAAAGTCATGGGTATTTGTCATAATGAGACATTAAAGTCATTTTAATTGGTCATAATGAGACATTAAAGTCATTGTAATTGGTCATTATGAGACATCAAAGTCATTGTAATTGGTCATAATGAGACATTAAAGTCATTGTAATTGGTCATTATGAGACATTAAAGTCATTGTAATTGGTCATAATGAGACATTAAAGTCATTGTAATTGGTCATAATGAGACATTAAAGTCATTGTAATTGGTCATAATGAGACACTAAAATCATTGTAATTGGTCATAATGAGACATTAAAATCATTGTAATTGGTCATTATGAGACAGTGAAGTCATTGTAACTGGTCATTATGAGCCATTAAATTCATTGTAATTGGTCATTATGCGACACTAAAGTCATTGTAATTTTTCATTCTGAGCACCAAACTCAGGGTAACATTGAGTAGGTGCAGTAATATGGCGGTGTCTATTTCACCACAGGATCTCTGTTGCATCTCTCTGGTACTCCTGATTATCGAGCTCTTCCTCCTGCGCCCACAGGTGGGCAAAGTTTTCATACACAACATAATATTCATTCATTCATATAATTTAATGTATTATCAGAATCATTTGGCATTGTTTGGAATCATTCTATATAATTTGAAACAGTTTGTACCTGTCATTCTTCATGTCATATGTTACGTTAGTGTCCTAATTTTTGTAATAAATTTTTTCCCCCGTTGTCTTTTGGAATTTTGAAACATAAATTTATATTGTGAATGTTGTTCTGGAAATTGGTAATCAAAATTTAGGTACAAGGTTAGAGCAATTTAACTATGGTAAAAAAACCACACTTCCAGCAGGAAGATGTTTTAAAGGAGACTGAAATGTGAGAAGAAATTTGTTATATCATTTTTTATGTTACAGCAATGAACTCTTTCACTAAAATGTTGTTGAATTTGGTCATTTTTGAAAAAGGTAATTTTTCTCCTAATATTGTGGTCATGACCGAAAAATTCGGTATTGATAGCTTATTATCAGATTTCCGGTTTCCAACTTTTTCAATAATTGAATGACCTATTTGTTTTGTTTCAACTCGAGTCTTCAAGAATTTGTATGCATCTGCAAATTATTGTAACTTTTTTCTGAGGCATCGTTTGTTTAGTTCAACTGGTTGCTGAGTAAAACAAAATTCTCTAGTATTTAGATTTAGTACTTCGGGATGATCAAGTCTATGCCTTCACTTTACATGAGAATGGGGAAAAGCCGTTTTAAATAGAAAACAACCGTAACTATTTGTTTCTTGATTAAAATTGTCTTTTTTCCAGCAATTTCTACATGTTACTCAAGTTTCTGAAACTTATTGAGAAAAATTTTGGAAGTGTTACATAAAGTTCATTTTCAACTGATATTGTTTCATTATGACTTCTGGTGAATTATGCATAATTGATTTGAAACTCCTACTCAACAGATTTAGCCTCGGATCTAAAACAACATGCAATTTCTTTCACTTCTGGAGGCGGAACTGATAAGGAAAAGGGTAAGGAACTTTATGGGATGTTTTGTTAGATGAGGATACTCGATTGCTTTTGGGTGTGATATGTAACATTTCTGTTAAATGATAGTTTAATGGAAATTTATTGAAATCAAATGAGCATAACTATTCAATGCTTGTAGCTGTTTGTGTTTGGTAAGGTCCATGCTTGTTGTCTAATAGGTTCTGCAAGGTTATATAAAATTACTTTAGAGTTGTTTGTCTTTTCGAGAATTAGGAAAGAGGTTTCATCATAGCTTGTATGCAAGCTGCAAGTACAGACACTGCATGAACATGGCTAAATTTCTCCATTGCTGACTGTAAACATTAATCTTGCAAGACTATTTTGTTAACTATGTGCTCAAGCGCAAGTTCTTCATGTAATATTTAGAACACACTCAAATACAGTTTTGTATCTTGTATATATTTGTTTGTTTGTACTATTTTGCTCCTTCCTAATAAAGCATCCTGTTTTGCACCTTCCTAATAAAGCATCCTGTTTTGCACCTTCCTATAATGCATCCTGTTTTGCACCTTCCTAATAAAGCCTCCTGTCTTGCACCTTCCTAAAATTATAATAAAATGTCCCTTGGAAACCTGATATTTGGATTTTCACTTCCTATCAAGAGCCTAATTCGCCGAATCGAGAAAAATAATAAGAAAATTGTCAATAAGAAATACTCTCTGGCCTTCAACGAAACCTATATATATATATATCCACTATAGGACTTTCTCCAGTGAAGAACTCTAAAAATAGTGCCATTAGCCAATTACTGACATCTTTTCAATTCAAACCGCTCAACCACTCGATTAATTAGCCACTACGTGTAGTGGGGTCGCTACGTTTACTTTGAAGGCTATTTTATGCAAGTTTGTTTGAAGACCAGAGCATGTTTTTTATTAACAATGTTCTTGTTCTTTTTTTCAATGAGTTGAACGAAATTTCTTGCTGGCGCCAGCTCATTTTTTTGGTTCGACTCAATGAAAAAAACGAACAAGAAGATTTAAAATAAAAAACATGCTCTGGTCTTCAATCAAACTTGCATAAAAGAGAAGCTTTTGCCGAACTACACCAATTTTGAAGGCTATGTATACATTTGAATTTTTATCGTGTTTCAACAATCTGCTTGTATTACTGGTAAGCTGTACTAAATAATATAAGGTAATAGTACATAGGTTATATAATGAATGTTTAATATTGCAGGTGAAGAAGTCGCTGATAGACATGTACAGCGAGGTACTGGACGAGCTCTGTGACTACGACACGAGTTACGACACTCACGACCACCTGCCCAGAGTCGTGGTTGTGGGGGACCAAAGCTCAGGCAAAACATCCGTCTTGGAGATGATTGCTCAGGTCTCTTGATTGTCTTGTTGTAGGTTATTTTTTTAGTTAGAGAAGAAGACCAAAACTTTCTTATTTATATGCGCGTCATTTAGATACAAATGTTAAATTTATATTTTATCCCTAAATTTATTTGAAGAGCAAATATGTTTATGTGCAAATCGTGATTTAATTCGCGATTTCGTGTTTCTGCTTGACCTATTGAAGGTTAAAAAATAGTTTAAAAAATTTATGTACAACATCGAAGTGTTTTTTTTTTTTTGTGAAAAAATATTGTGAAGTTATCTTAAATTTATTAAACTTTCAAGTGTTTATTGGGAAAATTCCTGGACAGTGACGTAAATTTTGCATGCAAGTACAATATATTGACAACTAGGTACTGAACTAGGTTCGTTCTGTAATTTACTTAATTAATTTTTCTTGTTATTTCATCGGGGACGAAATTAATTTTTTCATTATTTTATAATTCATCATTAGCGTCGTTCTGTCAGTTTATTATTAATGGTTACCGTTTTTATCCTTTTACTATTGTGCTCACTGTCTCTGTGTGTTCCAGGCCCGAATTTTCCCCCGCGGGGCGGGCGAGATGATGACGCGCGCCCCTGTGATGGTGACTCTCAGTGAAGGCCCCTACCACATCGCGCAGTTCAAAGACTCTTCTAGAGAGTTTGATCTCTCCAAGTGAGCACCTTGCCTTGAGCATGTGATTAACAGTATGTAATTTCATGATGGCTTTCAGATGTTAAGAGTTAATTTCAGAGTTAAGAGTTAATTATTGTGATTAACACAATAATTAACACAATGTTAATTATTGTGTTGATCTACCAACAGAGAGGCGGAGCTAAGTGAGCTGCGCAAGGAGGTGGAGCTGCGCATGCGCAACAGCGTCGCTGGAGGACGCACGGTCAGCCATGAGATCATCAGCATGACCGTTAGAGGACCCGGCCTGCAACGCATGGTGCTGGTCGATCTGCCTGGCATCATAAGTGTGAGTTATATCATTAGTGGGAGTTATATCATTAGTGTGAATTATATTCTTTGTGCGATTTGTCCTGGAGCTAAGGTACTACAAATATTAATGAAATACTGAAAAGGAAAATAAGTAGTAGGTCCTTTATTGTTTGTCATGTTATGTGGCTAGCCCAGAACGATCATGTATAAACTTTGATCAAATTGTCACGTACCATTTCATTCTTGCCACGTCCGTCAACTTGTACTGATAGGTGTTTATTGTATGTTGGTTGTAAAGTGCATCACTTGGAGTAGCAGGTTGGCGAAAAATTGCTTTGATAAAATTGTTCTTTCATATACTCGAAACCGCCTAATTAAATATACCTTGAATAATATACGGTTTTGAATAAAAATTACTTGTGATACGAATGAACTATTTGCATATAACTTAACAGATTTTTGGAAAATTTTGAGAAATCAGGACCACTGCCTGAACGAATACTATTGATCTCTCTAATGAACATCCGCCATGTAGCAGATATCATGCTGTTTTTATTCATTTTTAATGACAAACCGGTCTAGTTAACCATGCTGCTCGCGCTTGTGAATGTGAGCGAGTGTTATGCCATCATTGCTACTGGCCTCATATACATTTTAATTTCGTCTTTTTTTCCACTTTTCTCCTATTTAAAATTTCCAACTCAACAGCCCTAAGGTCAAGAAATGCTTTCAAAAATTCACAATTTCATTAAGTCGATCTTCAATGTCAATGGAAATTAGGTTGAGTGTGGGTGATCACAACATATTGTGATGAACAATAACATGCTGCATAAATACTCGAGTTACAAGTAACATGTATTAATCACAACAGACTGTGATTAGTAATAACATACTGCATAAATACACAAGTAACGTGTCTTAATCACAACAAACAGTGATTAACAATAACATGGTGCATAAATACACAAGTAACGTGTCTTAATCACAACAAACAGTGATTAACAATAACATGCTGCATAAATACACAAGTAACGTGTCTTAATCACAACAAACAGTGATTAACAATAACATGCTGCATAAATACTCGAGTTAGAAGTAATGTGTCTTAATCACAACAGACTGTGACGAGTGACATGGCTGTGGACACGCGGGAAGCGATCACGAGCATCTCAGAGCAGCACATGAGCAACCCGAACGCCATCATCCTGTGCGTGCAGGACGGCTCCGTTGACGCTGAGCGCTCGAACGTCACGCAGCTCGCAGCCAGGATGGACCCCACGGGACGCAGGACCATCTTTGTCCTCACTAAAGTTGATCTCGCCGAGGAAAATCTTGCTAATCCTGAACGGGTGAGCTAAACTCTTCGGTTCAAACAATTTGACGGACGTTACATTGGTACTTAATTAAGTTTTGCTGGATTACATGGTAGCTTAGCACTGGCTCATCTTGTGGCTAATCACTGGGTTATTTTGCTACTAATCAATGGGTTACCTTGCTACTTATCACCGAGTTACAACGCTACTTATCACAGAGTACCTTGCTACTTATCACCGAATCACCTTGCTACTGATCATCGAATAACTTTGCTACTTATCACCGAGTTAACACGCTACTTATCACCGAGTTACCTTGCAATTTAACCATTGACTAACCTTATAGGTCAAACGTTACTTTCGTAACTTAGTGATAAGTTGAGTTTCGTCTTATCAAAAACACATCAGGGTCTAGGGCATGGCAGTAACAAATACGTTTACATATACAATGCCGGTTAAATTGATTACTGGTAGTGAATGGTCTGAATTTCACGGATTTTATCGAACTTCTTTGAACCTACAGATAAAGAAAATCCTGGCTGGTCGTTTATTTCCTATGAAAGCCCTTGGCTACTTCGCAGTAGTTACGGGACGTGGCAATAAAAATGAAACCATCAACGACATCAGAGATTACGAGGAGCAGTTCTTCAAAAGCTCTAAGCTCTTCAGGTAACTCTTCTCTGGTTACATACATTTAAAAAAATACGGTTTAAGTCATAGCTGCATACCCACTGACTAACAAATGACATACATGACACAGCCAAAAGTAAAAGACGAGTATTTGCAGGGCCTTCACAAAGCTTGTGTCATAAACACACTATTGAACAGACGGACACCAAAGTGGGACTCTCAACAAGACAATTAAAACTCGCAAAATAATACACAATTAAAGAGATAAGCAGTGTTCTATAACAGTCTGACAGTTTGTCAGTAAGTTTGTTATATTTGACGTGAACCGTAGATTTTTATGTCTCCTATCATGCAGCTGCGTCAAAAATGTTACTCACCGAAGAGCATAAATTTTTACATATTCTGCTGACGATTGGAATCAATTATGAGTTGATCATTAGCTGAACTCTTGAATTGATGACCTACATTCCTAGACTCTTTGAAGCCACAAAGTGCAATTTTAATATTCTTTTTGCCATTTTTAAATTTCCCGCTGAAAAACAAATAATAAAAAATTTTAAATTTGTTTAAAATTGTCAATAAAATTAAATTTATGCCTTTCATTTATGTTTGCAATCTTATCTGAGTTTTCTTTTTCCGTTTTTACTATTTTTTTTTCGTAATTATTACCATTCGTTATTAAGTTGTCGCTCCAAGTTTATGTATAAAAGATAGCGGCAGAAGAAGATCTGCCGTTATATGGTGTTATTGTTGATTGCTTGCCAGGTCCGGCGGTGTGGTGTCAACGCATCAATGCACCACACGCAACCTATCGTTCGCAGTGAGCGAGTGCTTCTGGAAGATGGTGCGCGACACGGTCGAGCAGCAGGCGGATGCCTTCAAGGCTACACGCTTCAACTTAGAAACTGAGTGGAAAAATAACTTTCCCAGGTACGTAAGGAAGAATAACTTTCTCAGATGTCATTTTGTAAGTAGGTAATAATCCAAGAATTCCGTCTCAAGGACTACCAAGGTTAAATTTCAAACAAAAGATGAGTAGGTATATCAATAACTTATGGTATGTATCTGGTACTAAGATACGGGACATGTCATGTGTTCTGCCTCAGCTTGACGTTCATAATCATGAGGGGAAAATTAATTATTTGAATGTAATTGAAGGTGAACTAGCAACCATTAAATCTCATGCAGTGATCGTCGGATCATTTCCGTTTCCGGTGACTAGAGTCTTGACAGATAGGAGAATTTGTTCCTTAAAAAAACATAACATAACAATGCAATACAATAATTGAATTTAGTGAACAATGTTGGCATTAAAACAATGATATTCATATTTATAAATGTGGAAAGATTTTCAACTGATAAAGTCAGTTGAACATCCAACTATGTAACAACGATAGTCGCTGATCGGCATAGAGAAAAAGTTTCTGAACTGAGAACGTCACAACCTCAATGCATCGTTTTCAGATGCAATTCAAGATTATAAGCGAAGTAAAACAATCCAAGAATTCCCTCACCAAAGACTACTAGTGCGGTTATATTTCACGCATTGATTTCTGTAACTTTCAGGAAGTAAAGGATCACGTGATTATGCGTGAGAAAACTATTTCCACCTCAAGGTCCATCATTGAGTATTTGGACTAGATTTTTTTTGCCACCATCATGGAATTTTATATAGACCAATAGACCATCTTGACTATATTTTTTTTCCGCCACCTCCATGGAGTTTTGTATTGAGTATCTTGATCATACTCATTTCTTTCCGCCACCTCCATGGAGTTCTGCATTGAGTATTTTGACTGGACTTATATGAGGTTGTTTCTTGACAGATTAAGGGAACTGGACCGCAATGAATTGTTTGAGAAGTGCCGTGGGGAGATCCTGGACGAGGTTGTGAACCTGTCGCTGGTGTCGCCCAAACACTGGGAGGAGGCGCTCTCGAGGAAGCTCTGGGACAAAATAAATACCTATGTCTTCGAGAACATTTATCTGCCAGCCGCGCAGTCTGATAACTCTGGTGAGTGATCATTAGTAAATTACCTAGCACGTCTTCAAGAACGTTTATCTGCCACTTCATCTTGTACTTTTTAGAATGGTTTCCATACATGATGACACCTGAGATTGGATGTATGTAGCGTTTAAATATTAGATGCATTTGAATAGAAACAGGAGCAAACATTTTTTTTTCGAAATGCCTTAAGTGTGTGATAAAATCTTCCCACCAATTTCATGGTCATGAAGGTTTCCTGGTAATGAATACTTCTGAGTTTTTTGAAATATTTTCTCTTATTTATAACCGCCATAAATATTTTTGAGTGTTAAATGAGTTAGAAGTAAATTCAATTTAAACCTAATCAGTGTTCATTCCATTTTAATTATATTTTAGTTGTGTGGAAATAATACTTATCTTATTAAGAAATAGGCTATCACTGTCAGATCCAGCCCTTGTTATCCAAGTAACCATTATAATTTGCAGGCACGTTCAACACGACTGCGGACATCAAACTGAAGCAATGGGCAGACCAGATGCTCCCTAAACGCTGCGTCGAGATCGGCTGGGAGACTCTCCAAGAGGAGTTCAAGGGCCTCCTGGACGCTGCGAAGAAGTCTCGGGATCATGATAACATTTTCGATAATCTGAAGGCGGCAGTGATGGAAGAAGCCATAAAGAGACACGAGTGGGAAGACAAAGCAAGTGACATGTTGCGGGTCATCCAACTTAATGCATTCGAGGATCGCTCTGTGCCTGACAAACCACAGTGGGATGCAGCGTGTCACTTCCTGGAGGAGGCCTTGCAGGAAAAAATAGCCGCTAATGATGCAAAGCTCAAAGAGATGCTCGGGCCAAGCAGCTGGGACCAGTGGGTTTACTGGTGCAACCCTACAGAAGAACAGAAAAAACGTTCGGCTGTTCGTATGGAGCTGGAGAAGCTGCTGCAGGCAACATTTAACCACAAAAATACCCTCTCTTACGACGAGCTCACCACCACGCGAAAAAACGTGCAAACTTTAGGTTACGACGTCGACAACGAATGCATACGGGAGACCTGGCACCTGGTGTACAGGCGTCACTTCATGCGCAAGGCTCTGGCACGAGCGTACGACTCGAGGAAAGCGTTCTATGCGTACCACCAGGGCCTCGAGAGCGAGCTGGGCGTCGACTGCAACGACGTCGTGCTCTTCTGGCGAATACATCAGATGGTCAGAGTAACGGCCAACGCGCTCCGACAACAGATTATGAACAGAGAAGGTATGACAGCCATCTCGTAATTTATGTTAACAACAAAAATAAATACGTTTCACAGTTGACGTCGGAAAAGAAGGTATTTCACATATTTAATCGTTATTGTAATGTGCCTAATAATTTACGTCAAGAAACGCTGTTTCTCATTGGTGTGTAAGCATTACACAAGTTTATCTGTCGATCAGGGGCCATACTTTCAAAACTCGCTAAGTGAACGTAAGTACTTACGCTCTATTTTCTTGTCTATGATTGGTGGATTTTGCTTGAAAGGCCGTCAATGATTGGCTGATGAACTTACGATCTCTTAACTTTTTTTGAAAGTATAGGCCCTGGATCAAATGTTTTTAGACAACCAAGCGAGATAAAACCAAGAAATTTAAGTTTCTGCCCTTCAAGAACTAGGCAATTGAATGCATTTATTTTTATTCGCATAAGAAAACAGAAGCTAAAAGAAATTATCTTAGAAGCGTATCAGATAATAATCAAAACACATTTAATTAAATGATCAGTCGTAAACGCCATGATATCTTTTGACACTCGATTCAAATAATGATTGCCCATTTCATTAACCCTTCCAAATTTAATATCTTTGACTTAATTACGAATTGATGAAATATTGAAATTGCAAGATGAGTTTAGTTATTTTTAAACTGTCTGCGATTAGTTTCAGTGTGTAGAAATCGAAAACATGATTGAGTGGCAGGTGAGATATAATTTACAACTACGTTTATAATTTCAAGCATTGAGTGGGCTATAATATCATGTAATTAAGCAGTGTATTATAGCCCGTAATGCATGGAGTTGTTGGTAATGTACCATTGACATTTCGTGGAGCTCAACTGATGAGCACTGAACTAAAGTAAATATCTTCAGTGGTCTCTGTATCACTATGATTATTGAAGAGACGCAGATAATTGAAATTGAAGAGAAGTATACTCGATAGTTCGGTAAACTAAACATTTAGGGGGATCCTCATTTATTGGTAAAGCGGGAAGTGCCAGTTTCTATAGATAGCAAAGAGAAGTATAATTGTTTAGAAAGCTAAGGAGAAATTTATTGTTCCCTGCGCAGTATTGGTAGAAATAGCATAGCCCAGGATAAATTATTAGTTATGGGGTTTAGAATCATTAGCGTTTTGGGGAGCTAGATTTTACTGCATCACTGGTGCTGTAGAAATATTTCCTGCAACATAGGCATTAAGTGAGCTAATATTTACTTCATCATTATCTTCTTGTGAGCTACATTTAACGTTTATACTCGTTGTTCAGCACGGCGGCTGGAGCGAGAGATCAAGGAGGTGCTGGAGGAGGTCGGGTGCGACAGAGACAAGAAGGCCGAGCTGCTGGTCGGGCGTCGCGTGTTGCTGGCTGAGGAGCTCAAGAGAGTGCGACAAATACAGGAGAAACTTGAGGAGTTTATACAAGCTCTCAACAGTGAAAAGTAGTCTTGTTGATTTAGAACTCTTCGATATTATTATTAATCTTCTGTAATCTAGTTCTGCGCTTTCGCGCTCTTATATATAGGTTAATTAATGCATAAAGTAAGCAAAAATGTCTCACGTCCTGTCCACAATTTAGTCATGCATGGGCTAGACCATTAGAAACATAATTGATCGTTTTTTAACAAGCCTAACGCTGGGATATGCTCACATGTTCTGATTTCCATTATCAGGATATGTGAACATATCCTGATGTATATTACTATGTATGAAGCTGGTGTTTAATTTCATTGAAATTAGAATAATCTGAGGCCAGCAATCGGTTTGATCTCTTGCTAAAGAAAGATATGTACATATAATGTTTACTTTCAGTCTATGGCTGTCGACGATGCGAATTCACGTGAGTGGCCCCTTGATTTAGGTGAAACCTGAGTTCATCGTGATCGTTGCGTTATAGTGATATTTCTTGCTGGTCGACCTTATTGTTGTGTTAATATTTCTGTAAAATATTTACGAGACCTTGATGCCAACTATTGGGCTAGGTCATACGAGTAAAGTTTTTTTTTCCGAACTGCCATTATCTTTTATATTATGATCAGTTGTGTGGCGGGTTTCTAATTGCAATATTGAAGGCATAATATCGCTATTCGTTAACTGACGATTCACAAGTAATGACTATTTCAACACTTTTGAGCTGTCGTATATTTATTATTTGTGTTCGGTATCATTACCTAATTAAATTTTTTGTGATTTTATTGGCGATGAAACCGCTAATAAAATTAACGCTGTGTAGACTTGTTGGGAGACTCGAGAAGATAAGTAGTGGTACAATATGGCATTTTTCTACTTTATTTTATGGAAGAATATATTTGTTGTTTCGTCTCCGAATTTCTTGCAAGATTTGCTGGAGGCTTGCAAAATGGTCAAGATGTTTTCGTACTCTTCTAGTGGGATACGTACGAAAATATTTCTTCATTAGTCGATTTAAACGTATAACGTAACGTAAATTTTTAGAATTTTGAACAAACCCCAACAAAAGCATGGATCTTCTATTTGGTCACCCTCACCATTCGTTAGCTTAAGTAGTAATTGTAACTGTGTCGAACTAAATAAAAAGAATGTTCCCAAAAATAAGTAAAAAGTATTTTCCAAAATATCAGTATTTTGGAAAATTTTAAAATCAAAAAAGTATTTCAAAATCAATTCAAGGAAAATCTATGGTGCAGATTATTCTGATATTTCTGCCCCGATCTTTTAACTGTTAATTTTTCATATTCTGTTATTCAATACTTATCTAGCGAGGATCTATTAAGGAATTCTATAGATTAATTTGTTCACTTATGAGTACAACTTTGCACACATTTCTAGCGTTCAAACTAGGATGAGAATTTGGAAGTCATTCTTTGGCTGGACAAGTCTTCAAATTCTCAGTAGTCACTGAGTCACGGTTTTTTTTTCTGTAGTGCATTCTTAATTAAAATTTACGTTAGGTTATACGGATTCCGCTTCTAAATCTTGTGAGAAATGATGGTTTCACTCTCACTGCTCAGAGTTACGCTATGGCGAACATTCGGTGTCATGTTTTTTTAAAGGTGATCTGTTCACGTATGAAAGTCGGCAGTTGTTTGTTGTAGTCTGTTATCTTGATGTATCTGTTTCTAAAATGCCGTCAACTGGGGTGACTTCGGCCACCGAGGGTGACTTCGGCTAAACCTGCAACAGAAACAAATGGCAGCAAAACGAAATAATAAACGTTGGCCAAAGTCACCCCAGTCACTTGGGCAACGTTTATTATTTTGTTTTGCTGCCATTTGTTTCTGTTGTAGGTGTGGCCGAAATCACCCCCGGTGGCCGAAGCCGCCCCACTTGACGGTACTGCGTCGTAGGCTCTTGCAAACTTAATGCGTACTTATTTCTATATCTACCGATGTAATAATCGCTAAAATTGTCGTTCGTGTCAACTTTACTGGTAACGAGGGTTACCTCTACCAAAAAATGGGTTTACCCTTTGCCTACGGATACTATACCGTCGTCAATGCTATTCATACACAATTGCCTGGACCGAAAGGTACCGTCAGGACAAAGAGGTGAAATAAATACTGCAAAATTCATGTACCCTTGCTCGATGTGGAAACCTTTACTATAATTCTCATTTATTCATAAACTGAGGAGTATGTGCAAGTATTTCTGATGTGTGTCATGTATTCGTCATGAACTTTGTTCGCCAGAAACGCTTTCTCCAGCTTTGTCAGCAATTTCCTTGCTCATCTATTTTTGTTACTCGAATCTTAGTGACAAACTTTATCAATTGCGCGCCCTTTTTCATATTTGCTTAGTTAGATTTGTTAGCTTCATTGATTTTATTTTCGGAAAATGCAACGTTATGATTTATCAAAATCATTCCTTAGACAAATAAATTTTAAAATTGTACAAGCCGCGTGATACTGAAACGCAGTCCATGTTAGGGCATTTTAATTGAATGAACTATTTCGAGTCAGCGGTCTGCTTCATTCCTTCGTAGAGGAAGGGTAAGTCCGGCGATCTGCGGCCTAGTAAAAAAATACTAGTGATAATACTAGCAATCTCGATATTGCGCTGGTAAAGAAAGTGAACTCTTAATTAAATAGACACAAATTTTACGTTGTGCACAACTCGTCGTAGACTTGCTTCATTAACTTGCCAACATCATTATAATTCAGTCGTCATGGTTATTAAATTTTTCTTCGATGAGTTATTGCAGAAAATGAATGGCTCATTACTCATTATTGAGCTTCAGTTACGTACTATTTATTTAATGGCTTTAAAATAGCATATAAATTGTGTGCCTTCGAAATTCGATCATTAATAATTGGCAAAACTTCTGTCCAAAATCTTCTCAGAGAAACCTTATAATCAATTAATTGTGTGATGTCTGCAATGCTTCCGTAACACAATTTCTGAAAAAGACGGAAGAAGACAATATTTCAAAAAGGTTTAATTATACATCGTCCCAAACCCCATATTTTCGATAGCAGCCAGGATGAACATCTCTTGAACCAACTTTACCGATACAGTGAGAAAACTGATATTAAATTAATGGTGGAAGATTTTAAAATAAGCGCGAGTTACCGAAACAATGAGATAATCTACGAGTTGTTAGAACTAATCTACGAGTTGTTAGAACCTCTCTGGATACTGACGAAAATTACGAAGTTCTAGAGTGTTACACACACTAAATGTAATAAGGCACAAGGATATCTTATAATCATGAGTGGGGGCATCAGAGATTCAAACGGTTGAATAATAGATTTAAGTTAGTTTAGTTTAGTGGCCAAATGTTTACTAGCGCTTCAGCTATTATAAAACCGAGGCACAATGAATATTCAATCATAATTATGAGCATAAGAGATTCAGACTGTTGAAAATAGACATGAACCTACCCAATATTCATAAATCCTTTGATGGATGAACTCGTTACAAAATAATGGCATATAAAAATACTCCACTTATATCGATGACAGACACAGCCGGTAATGTGACTTACCCTACATCGAGCTACCAATGTGGATGTCACTAGATTCTATTACTAATTGTGCCTCCTAAAATCAAGTAATAAACATTAAGGTAAGTAAGGCAATTAATTTTCAAATATTTAGCACACTTACTCGACGAATTTGAATCGAACGCCGTGAATGAAAAATACTAACATCCCTAAAAACTGCTGCATCAAATCACGCCTTACTAGGTGTGAAATATTATAAATAAAACTTCAATTAAAACTTTACGAGGGAAACTCGCGTAAAATGCAACTAATACTAGCAAAGCACATCAGTGGAACGTGCAAGGACCTTAATATTAACCTGGAATGACAAATTTCCATTTTTTTGCAGTATTCATACTTTTCGCAACAACACACAAGTCGAATACCAAGATTTATTTATACATGAATGTTAATGTATTACTTAACAGATGAAGGACCTTTTTTATGAAGAATGAGACGCACAGAAAGAACGGGAAAAAATCGAAATATGTGGGTCATCCTGTACGACATTGGTAGTGATCATGCGTATGGACGTTTATTGAAGAACGCCCAAGATTGATTTGGTCAGGATGTAACTCGGATTAATTTGTTGATGGACAAGAACATAAATTTTAGCAAAATCAACATTTTTCGATCAATTTTGATAAAAGTGACATGTTTTACAGTCTTATCTAATTTTGCTTCGGTTTGAAGCATCGTTAATTTTTTAAAGCTCGTGGATAACTTAAGAGACTCTTCGTGCCGAAAAATAACAACTAATTTAAAAATGAAACTTCCACGATTCCTTCACCTTCTACGTAAGATCAATAGAAGCAAATTCATTATTAAAAAGTTCTCTTCTTGGGCATGCAGAAGTTGTAATAATGAAAAGAGATCATAAGATATCAGCGGACATTTTCAGTAAGGGAAGCCAAAATACTAGGTCAAAAATAGTTATAGAAATCCAGCATCCGGCGCCACGGTTCCGGGATAATAATATCATATCATGAAAAATGCGTCGAAATTTTTCAGTGAAGTTTTCCTAAAACCAACAAACATGACAAGAAGTGGAGAAATAGGCACCTAACAAATTGAAATGAATGCCTTAAAAGATTGAATAATTCATTGAAAAGTGAATAACATTTTTTGAAAATGTCTATAATTAGAGGATTCAGAAGATCTTCCGCCTTTATGTCGTAATTATTCGACAGATTAATCAATTGGACATAATAATCAATCTGTCTTATTGACAATTCTTTTATTGGCAGTTCGACTTCAGTAAGATAACTCACTACAATGAGGTTTTTTTTCTATGTTGAGCGAATTCTGTGCGTGTTGCCCATAAAGCAATTTATTTCCGACAATTAAATCTCTCATTTGGCGCTCTGTCCCTGGATACACTAGCCTTCGTCAAAGCTATTCGTACCCACAGGCCTGTTAACGAAAATTACCGACAGTAGACAAAGAGTTGATGAAAACCGCCGATTGTTTACTATTGCAGAAGGCAATGAATCCTGCCTCACTCATTTTTCTTGATGGTTGTGTCGGAAGGCTTGATGGGCAGAGAGAAGTGGTAGGTGGGCTGCGGCACGTTCAGGTAGTGACGGGTGTTCATCATAACCGAGAAGCCAGCCTTCATGTACATTTCTCGAGCCTGGACAGTACGTTTGCAAGTGTTATAATATTATTAAATAAATATCTGAACAAATTGAATGTATCATTTGAATGAGTACTCTAAGGCTGACCTGGTGATGGCAGTGCGTGGTGATGAGCTCGAGGTTCTTGTAGTTGTGACGTCGCGTCACTGCGATGACAAACTCAAGCAGGTTACTGGCGATGCCGCGGCGTCGGTACTCCTTTTTGACAGCGAACCTCCGCAGCCAAGCTCTGTACAACAGGAGGATGTGATGAGGACAACAGTGAGAGCTGTACAACAGGAGGATGTGATGAGGACAACAGTAAGAGCTGTACAACAGGAGGATGTGATGAGGACAACAGTTAGAGCTGTACAACAGGAGGATGTCATCACTACAACAGTGAGAGCTGTACAACAGGAGGATGTTGTCAGTATATCAGTGAAGGGCCCTTATAGCCTTGAACACACGTCTCTTTCAGCCCTGGCTACGCAGGAACTAACTTAGTGTTCATACAGCACACATGTTTAATATTTATAAAGAAAAACGCTGCAAATTACACTTCACATAAATCTCTCAGCGAGCACTAACGCACGTATTTTCCGGTCTCAAGATCGCAACCCTTCGGCACACAGACAGGCACGTTTACGTCAAGAAGGCTTGTTTATAATATAAACACAATACGTCAATAACCACATTCTGCATCATGAAGGCTTCTTTACAATATAAAGAATACGTCAATAACCACATTCTTCTTCAAACTTAATCGTAGAAATTCACAAACTTTCTCGCATTTCCAAGTTGCGTGTTGTTGCTGTGGGTGAGGCCGACGCAGCCGACGACGTTGCGATGCTTGTATTCCGCCAAGTTTATTCCTTTGCGGTCCAAGTCTTCCTCAGTGATGAAATCGTACAGAACCTGCACCATAAACCAAGGTTAAATATAATCAAATAATGAGAATTTTTAGCAAGTGATAACAACGTCCCACATCAATGATGAGGTGCCAATTGAACGTTAGTATCAACATTGAACAATGTAGGTATTAATTCTATTATTAGTATTAGTCGTTTAACACAATAAAAATCTGATTCAAAACCAACCGCGTTGGGTGGCAATAATGAGGATTGCAGAAATTAGATTAGAAACGTCAAGCCGCTACAGGATAGTCACTTTTAGGCACAAATATGAGGAGGCTGAATTATTCTGGTCCATATGACATCTAATTTAACTTCCAAAGGTTAGATATAAATAAATACTGCATTAAATTACACTTTAATAACAGGCTGAAGAGATATATGCTTGATCCAAGCCCCGCAATTAAGGGAGTTAATCAAGGTGATAAGAGCTGAGAAAGCGGTAGAAGATGCATGTGAAAAATGAGCGGAGGAACAAAGATAATTGAAAATTTGAACATTAACCAAATTTTAAATGGGCGAGCCAGTGTCATAAATGTTTTTGGAAAGTGACAAGGTGAGGTTCTAATGGCAGCCATTACAGTGAAAAAAGTGCACGTCAAACTTCGGAAAACGCAGTGTATCTGAACCCTGGACACAGGGGCGTTAAGAGCAGCGATTAAAAAACAGAAGTAATTTAAATCAGTGATTAATTTATCCATTTTTATGGAGTAATTGAATGAAATATAAAGAAATTTTTATTGAACAATACATATCAACGTTGTTAACACGAAAGTGGCAATACGATTGCTACAAAGAAGTGACCACGAGAAGGTAGCTTCAAAATCCCTTAACAGGGCAAGGGCAATAAGCTTCAATTCCTGCATTCTATCGAGCCTAATATTTGAGATAATAAAACGTCTTTTAACTAGTTATTATTCACACCTTCTTGGTAATGTTGAAGTGAGCAGAAAGCTCTGAGCTGAGAGTGTTGTCGTAGACCTCTGCCACCCAGAAGCCGGTGTCAGGCTCCTTTTGGTAAACGTTGGCGATGTTGCTAAGGTCGCTGTGTAGTTCCAACGTCTGAAGTCATAATAAAATAAATTTAATAAAATCACTGTAATTATATAGTATTCGCTGTCAACTGAAATATTAGGCACTACAATATTTTCACACCAAACGAAATATTTGATGGTAAATTTCGGTATGGCTTATAAACATTTCAGCAGGATGCCAAAATATTGATTGGAACATATTTTACAACATCTCAGCCAAATACCTACTGCACTTAAATTAGTAGTAGCAAAAATGGAATAGTCCAATCAAATATAACCAAAGCTCATCATTTCAAAATATTCATATTACTTTATTTAACACATTAGAATGTTAATAGTTTAACCAAATTATTATTACAATAACAGATGTACAATTAATTATTCTTAGTACGCGTTACGTACCTTGAATAAGTGTGCTGACCAGATAAATACGTAAATCAGAGCCACAGCCGCAGGAATGAGAGCTAAACAATAATAGAATGGCAAACTGAAGCCAACAAAACCAACAGCCAGCGCAATAAACGAAATCTGAAAATAGAAATAGAAGGCTTTAATTTAATTAGAACTTTTGAGAAATAGTTGATACACAGAAAAGAAGAATTAAATTCGAGTTCAAAATCATAATGGCCTTAAATGACAACTTCAAATTTCGTTTTCAACACACAAAATTCCTTATATGAATAAACTTTTTCTACTATTATTATTATTATTGCATAATCCTTACATAAAACTTTGTAGCTCGGAGTGTATTCTGGAAGACTTTGAACTTATAATTACACATAATTTAAACACTAACCTTTACTCTATACACAAAATATCATAAAATGTGTGATTCATATCTACAAAGGCTTCTGTGATTCAAGTCATAATTATAAATTATTAATTGAGGAATTAGAAAAATTAAGTCAGACATTTATAACCGCAATTTCTTCATGAAATTCACAGCGTTAAGTATGACAAAATATTATAAATAATTAAAATACGATAAAAATCACTTGACTTTATTTATGCCGCATAACAAGAATTTGACCGAAATCAATATTTTATATTTACCTGGGGAAATATTTCAGAAAGTATGGCTGCCCAGAAAAACTCCCCAACTGTCTCCATTGTGGCTTCAGAAATCAGCTCCTGCACAGATAACAGTTACTTTATTAGCCATGATTACCGCCGTTACTTTATTATACGCCGTTATTAACAGTTACTTTAATAGCCATGATTAGGCTGCCTGTCTGCCGACCGACGATATTCAGAACTGAGAACCGGCCACTCAAATGAGAACCGGCTACTCCAGTGAGAACCGGCCACTCAAATGAGAACCAGCTACTCAAATGAGAGCCGGCCACTCAAATGAGAACCGGCTACTCCAATGAGAACCGGCCACTCAAATGAGAACATATTCAGAACTGAGAACCGGCCACTCAAATGAGAACCGGCTACTCCAGTGAGAACCGGCCACTCAAATGAGAACCAGCTACTCAAATGAGAACCGGCCACTCAAATGAGGACTGACCACTCAAATGAGAACCGGCCCCTCAAATGAGAACTGGCCACTCAAATGAGAACCGGCCACTCAAATGAGAACTGGCCACTCAAATGAGAACCGGCTAGTTAAATGATAACAGACTACACTGATAAGAACATGATACTCAGTCATCAAATGCAGCATAGGATTTTGTCAAATTAGACGCAGAACTCGTTGAAGCTGTCAAATTAGACGCAGAACTCGTTGAAGCAAGTCCAAAAAGGTTAGTACGATCCTACGATTTTTAGAACTTTACGAGTGTCTTGTCCAGTCCACCCTCGAAACCATCCATCTAGTGCGAGTCTAGCATATAGCCAGGCATGTTCAGCCATCCACAGTCACCTGTAGAAGACCTTTCTGCGTTTCCAGTGCCGCGACCGGACACACAAAAAATATAACTCAGTACTCACTGCAGTGAGTGACAGAGAGCGCATTTTCTCGTCGACGAAAACTTGAGGTCACGGACGGACAGACAGACATAGAACTTTACGAGTGTCTTGTCCAGTCCACCCTCGATACCATCCATCTAGTGCCAGTCTAGCGTATAGCCAGACATGTTCAGCCATCCACAGTCACCTGTAGAAGACCTTTCTGCGTTTCCAGTGCCGCGACCGGACACACAAAAAATATAACTCAGTACTCACTGCAGTGAGTGACAGAGCGCGCATTTTCTCGTCGACGAAAACTTGAGGTCACGGACAGACGGACGGACAGACAGACGGACGGACGGACATGGCGAGCACAATAGTGCATTTTTTCCATAAATGAGAAAATACGCTAAAAACCTGTTCAAGCCTGACTTCCCTTTCTATTATTTCAGGTTCAGCCACACTTGCCTCACTAGACTCCACTTCACGCTCCTAAAACTAGTCTCCTGGTCCTAGTAGCATCCTTCCGAATTTACTTGTAATGGGACAAAATTGAAAGCAGTTGAGTTGCTTGTGGAAATGAACTTAATAAGGAAAAATTTGAAAATCTATAGGCAATTTGGTGCACACAGCATAATCATGAAATATTTATAGAAAATATAGGATGTTATTATGGAATGATTTAGTTATTAGTTGATTACCTTGACAGCCATCTCATCTTGTAGTCGATAAGGCCTGAGGAGGCACAGGCCACGTTTCTCCTCCGAGTTCACTTCATCTTGTGATAACAGAGGCTCGCTCTCGCTGCTAAAACTCATTTTTATTTTGTAATGAAATATCTAGAAATATTCATACAAAATCTGCAGAGAGAAATAGTTTAGTGGGGAAGAAAGTAATTTAAAATGCAATTTAGTTTAAATAATAGCGGTTTCAGCATTTATTAGGCCGTAGGCCTGTCGCCGATTCTTAACATTGCAGAACATTCACAGCTTGTTGCGGGCTTGAACTCGAAGCTCACTACTTCAAATTTTCGTAGCTTAACCGCCCGGCCTCCTCGCCGATTCTGACCAGTAGCTGTCGAGCAGAGCTGGGATCGAACCCGCACTTCACTATTATAATCATGATACTCTGAACTTAAACCACCGGACCACCCTGTCCATTTAATGAACGTTATTATTTTCAAACAAGGTACTAGAAGAAATGAAGTCAAGATGCAGGAGAGAGTCAGGGAAGAAAAAGGCAAGGATTCCTACCTACATAATAACTTGATGTACAGTATCCTACCTACATAATAACTTAATGCAAGGAATCCTTCCTACATAACTTAATGTACGGTATCCTACCTACATAATAACTTAATGCAAGGAATCCTACCTACATAATAACTTAACCCAACAACTGGTCTTTTGAGCTCGCGTTATCTGCAGTCAGATACCGCGAGCTCAGCGGTGGGTCGCTCAGGAACAATGCCCCTGGGAAGCCGAAATCCCATAGGACTTCTGACAAGCACATACACGCGTCAGAAGTCCCGCTGAGGGATAAAGCTAAATTGAGAGACACCATTTTATGTATGCTACAGATAAATAGCGACTACAGATCAATAATAATTTAATGTAAAGCAAATGCATACCTACTGTAGAAACCGAGATAAAATTATAATGGTAAAAATATTCACTTCATCAGGGTTCAACTGATAGCGCCATTGATGCAACATCTTCTTTCGCAAAGGCAGGGTTGTTTTTTAATTACTGTATACAGATAACAAGATTTGAGTATGGAAATTGTATTGAAGTATGAGAGCCGTGACATGCTCTTAAATACTTTGTAATAATTAATCAGTTCTATAAAAAAATTCTCACGAAAAAATCATATTATTTATCCTTGAAAACTTTCGACAAGGAGAAGGAGAGTCGGGGCAGAGAATGGGAGTATCATGTAACGTAAGATTTCATAACATATCTTAATAAAGTACTACAAATATTTTACATAGGAAAATGTTATAAAATAGTGTGTGCCCAATGATTCCTAATTTCGGGATGCTTATTTGAGGAATTGTCAACATAAAACAAGCAAATGAAAGCATAAATGAAGTTTAAATTTAGGTACATAAGAGAAAAAATACCAAAGTTCCCATCTATGAACATTTGAGCATTTCTTACAGTGGTAGGATGAGGAAGAGTATGGTGGCATCATTGGCAGTGAAACTTTAGATCTTTTCAGTTTTCTGCCTCGGTAATAACTGCAATACAATATAATAGTTATTGAAATTTATTGATGCCGTACAACTGCCCGCAAATTAGAAACAGAGAGATACAAAAATAAAACATGAACTTAAAAATACAATTCATTTTCAGACTTCTTTCTAATTTTTATCGATTTTAAATTAATAATACACAGTAAGTATTTTCTGAAACAGGCACATTCCCAATTTTTCAAACAAATTAAATACATACGACCTAAACTCGGTACTGGAAATTGCAGAATCAATTTTAGTCACGATTTGGACTTATAATGTACGAGTAAATACTTGAAGACGGCGCCAAAAATTCTTGCACTGAGCTTTTGGCTCACAGATGGAAAAAATAGGCAACGTATATCATGAGCGCTTACCAAGCGTAGAAAACGCTTGATATTTTCCAGACCTTGACCTCTACTCTTTGTATAAGTCTTGCGTTTTTTATCGAGATTATTAACAGCTCGTATCCCAGGTTCAAATGCTGTTGTATTAATAAAAACATTAACCGTGAAGCAGTGCCGAGTACACCGTGACTTGAAGCAGCCGCTGAGAAGTTGAGAACCGCTATGGCGTGCAAAAACATATGTTGGCTGAGTTATCACCAGTAGCAAGTCTTATTATCCTAGATTTGCAAATTAAAAATTATCTTAAAAATTGTGAACTCAATCTAGACAATTCCTTTCCCAATTACCATTTCATGCTCCAGAAGTGGGAATGCTCTTACAACTTAGCAAATAGTATTGGTACGGAAAAGAAAAATTAGCTGTTACATTCAAAATGTCAAAGGTTCGCACGAACCGACTATCTTCGTGCAGTATTTTTCGTTCAAAGTCATTTAAATTCTGATTAACATCTGAACAACTTCGAGCCTCTAGGGTAGGTAGACTGCGACGGCCGTTGACTTGTGTTGAACTTCCACTACTTTCTAAACATAACTGAGAATTGTTGGTCGAAGTTTTGTCTGCTTTCAGTAAAGGAGGAATTGCTTGGTGAACTTTCGTAGCATCGGTAGTGAGAAGGCTTCTTACGCGTAATTCAGAATCACAATTCTTAAATTCTGTAAACTTAAACACTTCTTTAGGAAAGGATCTTCCGTCCTTGGAAACAGCCGAAGCACTGGAGAGAAATGCGGTAATGAAAGGATCCATTTCATCAACAGGAACAGCAAGTGATTCAACATCTGGCAAATTGTTCAAGGTTTGCCTTGGAACTATGAGCCCGGAGTCGTTAACGGCTGCGACCGGATTAAATTTCATTCGATTTCGCCCGACGGTAGAAATGGTTTCCACCCCACAGCAGCTTCGGAATGAGCTTTTAAGATTCAATTTATCAGGGGGTAGAGAGGAATCGTAAATTTCTATAACACTTTTGGAAGAATTTTGATCCAGTATCTTAGCCGATTCTTCCGTGTAGGTAGACCTAACTGCATGATGGTGACTCTCGTCAGAATTTCGAGCAGGTTTAAAGCTACACAAAGTAGTCGCATATACTGCGTCAGTGTACTTATTAGGATGCGGGACGCGGGATGGTGTCACCAACGTTCCAGCGCCAAGTCTTGACGAATCAAATTTGGCGACCTTGGTCCTCTTCAGTTCAGATTTATTTAGCGCTGTAGTGGTTTTCCTTAAACATTTACCATCATTAAGGTTATAGTTAACGGTTGGCTTTAATTTAGAGTTCAAATATAAACTCGGTTGAGTAGATTCAATTACTGTCGTTGAATCAATTGCATTAGAGTCTTGTACTTGAACTCCAATGTTAGCACTCGGTAAATTGAACTGTCCTGGATCGTGAACAGAAACAGAACTCAAACGCCAAGGGACAACAAAGTCTTTCTGTACAGGCTCACGTAACCTACGTGTTCTACATCGCAGCTTTCTGATCCTTTCCAGAGTAGATCTCTTCCCATCATCAAGAAGTGCGCTGTCATGCATTGGAGAGGTTTGGCTTGCTTTGTTTAAAACAGACGATCTCTTCACGTCTAATCCTGAGAATGATTGTGTAACTGAGCATCTCGAATTGCATTCTCTATTATTTTTTGAGCAGTCGGAAACAAAATTGTCTGGATTTATACAAGCGCCATCACTGCAGTTATTGATGTTTCTGTTCGATGTCTGGCATTGGTGACTCCACCTCTCGTTATATTCTGAAATTTCATCTTTTGAAATAACTTTTCGACAATCATTATCAAACGCAAAATAATGATGGCAGTTTTCAGTCTGAGCATCAATTCGTTGTTGTAGACGATCTCGACGATTCGTTGTAGGCGATCTCATCGGAAGATTCGAAAAATCGTCGAAGGTTTTGTTCAATCCCGGAGCAATTAGATTTACCTTTGACATTCCAGAAAATTTCGAGTTCACATATTTTACGAGCTTCTCTATTTTTTTCTTATTAGATATCACATCTATCTCTTCGGAAGAGATGCTCCCTTTGTCCTTCTCTCCTAGACGAACATTCGAAGTCAATAACAAATCATCATAATCATGGCACTTGAAACCCATAATTTCTTGGCTTCTTTTATAAACTGTTAAATTGTTAGCACTTTTCATCACCTTATGTACATTTCCCCCAGAATTAGACGACAAAATTGAAGCTACACTGTTATTGGGTATTGGAAGCAACTTTACACTGTTATTGGGTCTTGAAAGCGACTTTACACTGTCATTTGGGCTTAGAAGCGACTTTACACTGTCATTTGAGCTTAGAAGCGACTTTACACTGTCATTTGAGCTTAGGAGCGACTTTACACTGTCATTTGGGCTTGGGAGCGACTTTACACTGTCATTTGGGCTTAGAAGCGACTTTACACTGTCATTGCTGCTTGTAAACGACTTGCCGACGTTAAACACAGGCATATCTCCGAACTGGACACGAGATTCAATTCTCCTAATTTTTCTACTTTCTTGTTTAGTTATACATGGTCGTTTACTGTTACTGCAGGTACTTACAGCATTTCCAACACTTGGTATGGAATCAACAACAGTGCTGTCACTAGATTTTCTTACATCGTTAAGTAAAGGATTCAATGCCTCACGCTTACTGATCATGTCTGTTTTGCTGACACGACCTGCTTCACTGGAAGGATTTCTGCTAGAACAATTGTGTGAACCACAACGATTGGGAATGTTTTTTTCCTTACTAACGTTACTCACATGTCCAAGTACCGGAATGCTTGGAATGATTGCTTTATGGTTAACAGTTTGCAAAACATTGTCAAGCGTACCGTCGTTTTGAGGCCTGCAAGCTTTTTTGCCGTGATCAAAGTCCGCACTAGACAATGTATTAGAACTGTAATGGTTCTTGCCTTGGCATTTATCTTCCTCCCTTTGGTCCAGTAGGGCAGCCAACGTGAGCCTACAGGCAAATGAAGCCCGTCCGTCACGCGCAACTTCAATAATTGACTTACGAACTTGATGAGACCGAACACCACAACTGATCAACACGCTGTCCAGCATAGAGGATCGAGGTGACGAAGGAATTTTCAGAGTTGTGGATGGTTTCTGAGTCGAAGACGAGATGTCCAAATCCGCAGCAACCGCGAAAGGACAACCACCACAGTCTCTTGGTTGCGAGGAGAGGCTCTGAAAGAATTTAAACGAGATTAATTTTTCGCGGAAGAAGAAATTAAGAAAATAAAACTCCAAACTGTATTTGTATGTAGACTTCAGCAAAATACACATAAGACCCTCATAACATATTTTGATGATTACAAAAATTAAAATGTTTTAAGTACTTACAATAACAAGAAGACGTTCTATAAAAGAAGTGCTACACATAAAGACCACAATAGTTACAGATGTAGCTCAAGAGGTACGGTAATAGAATTATAGCGCTTAGGTGCATTATACTGCTACACCTCAATCTGTACCCCCACATAAGCTGCAGTCAATACCTGCCTCCAATTACAAGCATCTAAGGGCAAACTAACAAGGATTGAAAAAGTTTTGAACAAAAAAACAGAGTCAAGCCAATTGAATGATAAAAAACGAGACCTGAAAGAAATCAGAAGAAATGCTTGAATGGATGTAGCTGAATAAAATGATTGCTGTTGGATATTACCCAGCAACAGCAATCCCGTGATTTCAGAACGAACATGACTAAGTTTTAGCGAATATAAAAAACATTGCATCAAATCTGTAACATTTTGTAACAAACACCTGGCAATAAAATTACAAACAAAGCGAAATTTAGTGTCTAGAACGAGATAAAGCACGGCACCTGTAGCTTGGCACAGCTGTGGTGGGCAACAAGATAAGCACGGCACCTGTAGCTTGGCACAACTGTGGTGGGCAACACGATAAAGCACGGCACCTGTAGCTTGACAAGATAAGCACGGCACCTGTAGCTTGTCACAGCTGTGGGGTGCAGCAGGCACCCGCCTGCCCTCCAGACCGTAGATGTGACGCAGACTGTACATGTAGCGTCGGCCGTCGCGGGCCCAGTTGTGGCCACACGCGCTGTGCTCGTGAGCCGCTGCTCTGTAGTAACTCTCCCAGAAACTACGGGGAATTAATATGCTATGTTGAAAGGGACCTCAGTAGCTGATGGACATTAGTGCATGGCTATGCTTTCCAGCCTAACTATTGATTGTCACACGAATAATTTATTGGCAAGTTTATGGAACATGATGGGATTGAAGAATTTCTAGGTTTTAAAAGAATTTAAATATGAAGAAAATGCCAAGTGGATTCACCAAATTAAACACTAGTAAATTTTCTATGTTTTAAAATTTTTGGTTAATTTACATCCAAAGCAAATTAATATATAATTACTTTCTACGCTTTAAAGCCAACTATTAATGTCCATTTTAAGCTAAAAATTTACATGCTACACAGTTCTGAGCATGAAGACGAGCTAATCGTTGGTCTGGGCTGTGAATGCAATGCTTTAATTTGGTTTAGTTGAAATAAACTTTCAATTCTTTTTTGTTTAATTCACACTTTCAAACATTTTTTGTGTAATTCAACCATTAAACTATTCGTTTAACTACTAACGCTATATTTTGGCTGAGTGGCACCCCGATGCTCCTGAGGAAGACGCTGTATCGGTAGCGCTGATGGTGCGGCAGGCGACGATGTTTATGCAGACAATGTTGCAGCTGCTGCATGCAGGCAGGGAAGTGAGATGAAGCTGCCATGATGGCACTGGCTTGCAGGGGCGTGGCACTGCAGCTGCCAAGTGTTGGGTCTGAGGACCACTCAAGGTGCAAAGGCCCCAGAGATGAAACAGCTCTGCTCATACCGTGCAAATCAGGGTTACTTTTGCCGCCAACAATTTTCCTTCCCGTTAAAGTTCATCACACAACAATAACCTTCCAGTTACAAGTTCATCCTTCTACCATGTTTTTTCTGCTTCTAAGAGGAAAAAATTACTTCCAAGAGAAAAAAGCATGTTCCATCAACCTAAATATTGCAATTTTACATCACGTTCAAATCAGCAATGTTGGACTTACAAATGAAATTCTTTACTTCAAAATACTAGATGGTCTTAATTGGCTCCACTCGCGTGCTTTATTAATGCTTTGGACTAAACACAAGTTCCCCTTGGTCATGGATTACTCAATAATTCTAAGCTCAGATTAAAAAGAAATACCAACAACACAAAAACCACATTACCTCAAAAGGGCTGCATGAAGCACAGGATGGAGCATCTGTAGTCTTTCCATCTGCCTGAGCGAGCCCATGAGACCCGTGGCACTCGAGAGCAAGAGGCTGAACAGCTCAGCGAGGAGCTGTGGGACGCTCCTGCAGGTGATGCTGCATACACCAGCGTGCAGCGTGACACTCCGACACGCGACCATGCCAGGCACCAATTCCCACTGCACTGTAGAGTACAGTACCTATCATTCTTCATACTTCAATTACATGATGAAATGGCAGCATCAGCGTGCAGAGCAACACTCCAACATGCAATCATGCACAATGATTGATTTGAGGGATACAAGTCAACTAATGGGAAAATTTAAGAGATACAAGATAATTAATGTGAGGGATAGGTAAACGTGGTCTTAAACGAGCTGGGTAAATAAATGTGACTTATCTTAACATGGAATAGTAGCTAATAAAGTTATTACAGAGGGACAGGCACATGACAAAGATCTTTGACCGTTAGACCAATGTGCTCCTAATGCGAGTATATATACTAAATTGCTGTGGTCCTGCAAGCTATCGAGGAGGCTTATTAATGAGCCCAGCCCATTAATAGAAGTCGTGTTACCTCCCATGGAAGGCTCTTGTCCTTGTGACACATAAACTGTCAACTCGGCATTAAGGCAAGGTCCCACTGACCCAGTGGACTCAAAGGTAACAATGTCTGCTGGTAAACACACAAAGATTTGCATACACAAATTACTCACTGAAAAGAGTGGCAAATAAAAACTGACGATGATGTGATAGACTTGTGAGTAAGAAGACTCCTCAAGGTGGGTTTGATCTAAATTAATACAGATATAGATGATAAATTGGTCATTGATGTACAAGTTTCAATAAATCAAATTAAGATAAGGAGCTGAATTCTAATGTTGCTTTTTTACAAAATTCCATCTGTTTAGAAATTCATCAATACTAAGCAGTTCAGGTTTTGCAACAAGGAGATATCATCTTGTTGTTGTTGTAATTGTCCATCCTGGTAGTGGCAACTAGGTAAGGGAAGGGGGTGATAGGTCAGTTTTTCCAGGCACTTAATGCCACTAGTAGTTCCACGACCATCACTGGCTCACTGACCCGCCAGAACCATTCATCATTTAAAACTGTTACCATCTTAAAACGTGCTGCATGATTGGATAAATTATGATCTATTAAAACATTCTGCATTTCAGGTTTCTGGCTTTTATTAGATGAACAATGAACTTTGAAATTTGTAGATAGTACTAGCCTACAATACTTTTATTTTGTTCAATGGGTTATGCAAGGACCAACCTTTACAGAGGCATTGCCCACAACGCTCATTGGCTGCAATGCATGCCATACGCAGTAGATCTTGAGCAATAGATGCAGTTGCAGTGAAGAACTTCAAATGCTCTTCTGTTATTTTTACTTTGTTTATAGAACATTGTATTTCATGCAATAGTTTCGTCACAATGAAGTGCAAAGAACTTGAACTACACTCAAGACGATATCGAAGTAAGAGCTCTTCTGACTTCAAGAAAAATCTTCTGAACAATGGATCAACCGATGCAGCAGTTCTGAAAAGCAAGCAGTTGAGGATCACTTTCCTGAAGGCATGAAATTTCAATAATAAAATTTTAATAATTAATGAAGTTATTATGAGATATTAATATTTTATCCAAGGCCTTCAAAAAGTATCTACAACTTTTCTAGTATTAAAGTCAAATTGTTGGAGTCAAGAATACAATGTCAAAATAGTAAAATGTTTAACCTGCAGTTCTCTGAGCCAGTAGGTAAACTCATCTTTACTCATATGAGTTTAATAAGCATAATTTACATACATGTATTTTAATCAACATGATTTTTGAGGTAACTTTAAATTACTTGATGCAAAATAATTTATATCAGGTCACTTCACTGATATTGTTTATGTCTTCGAGGTTTTATTTCATTACCTTATTTGTTATTCACTGGGTTTCTATAATTAAATGATTGATTTCATCAAATTTTACTAATTACAAGTTATTGCCATTCACAAAATTTCAATCAGTACAACTTACTATTTTCTAGTAATTTTTTTTATTCCTGCCATATCAAATATGAGTTTTTCTGGCATGATTCCACATGGGTTCAAATTTAAACTCCGATTACTTCCATCAATTACTCATGTTAGTTCTACAAAATTCCTAATGTTTTGCACATATAAGAATTTCCAGTGTTATTCAAAAGTACAATTCGAGTCATTTCATTAAGGAAAAATTAGCATGGCATAGAGGATGTGTGTTTTACCTCACCAATTACCCCATTCTGTGAATTAAGATAACAATATATATTGTTCCAAAACAACAATAAATACAGAAACCGTTTAGTATTTTCTCAATGAATAAAGACAAAATAGTAAAAGATGAAAATTGGTAGAAAATGGTGGGTTCAGTTACACAAATAGAATTCAACTCGCATTAAATAAATTGTGTAAGGTACTTTTAATCTACCAACTGGAAACCATTCAAAACATCATAAGGCTGACCTCAGCAAGAAATGAGCATTCCTGTCTCTTGCTGTATGCTCCATGAAGCCAGCAGATCCAAGGGCCAATTTCCCATCTTGTAGATGTTGCTGCAGTAATTTACCTGATCCATTACATTGACATGTTAAATATAGAAATTATTTACAAATAAAGAGATTAAAAAAAGGGGATCATCCTTATTGATTATTTAATAAAATTTACAATACAGTTCCGTAAAATGGGGTAACTTAGACAACTTTTTTTATAAATGATGCCATTTTTTTACTAGCTAAATTGAACTTGAATTGAAACATGCATAATACAGGTCCATACTCTAGCTTCACTCACCATAAATTGCTGCCTCCTGCCTCATAGTCTTTATGTAATTTAAAAAAAAAGTGATGGTCTTTGTTACCCCAGCTCTTGGGGTATCTTAAACTGGGTGGTAAAATCAATTATATTTTTTGGTAAAATAAATCCATATAAATCCAGGTTTTGGTGCATTGTAGTAGAACTCTTCTAGTTACATATGCAAATGACAAACTTGAGGAAAGTGTCATATTTTGCAAATGGGGGGCACTGCCCCACAGGGTGGAATTCTAGAAATGGAAGTTCACTTATAAAAAAGCTTTCCACCCCAGGTGGAATGCTTTCCTTAGATACAGTGCTCTGCCAAGTGCCAGGTGACTGACTATAAATGATAAAGAGGATCAAAAGTGGACAAACTGTTTCAATTGTACAGTACCTCAGATTTGTTGAAAAATTGTTTGAAGAATATTAACAATTTTTTCTTTTATTTAATGGATTTTTTGAAAATTATCCAGGCTTTTTGTTTGTAATGGTCAAGTTTAAGTTGAGTATTTTTGTATTTAGTTAACCAGTACTGTAGACTTATACCATATTTGGGGGAGGGGCTTATGGGCACAACCAATCACAGCTTGAAAGCATCTCCATCAACCAATCACAGCTTGAAAGCAGATAACATTACAATTCCATTAACCAATCACAGCTGGAAAACTGGAAGGGGCTAAAATCACAATCCCATCAACCAATCGCAGCTGGAAAGTGATTGGTTATGTATATGATATGATGGACTGAAAATGAAAAGTTCCTGGCCTTTCCAAGCTTTCAGGTCCTACTTTCCAATATGCTATGTGTACTGGTTAATTTAATATCCCTCTAGAATTCCACACTGCAGTGCCCCATAATGAGGGAAATGTGACATTGTGACTACCTAATGGCAGCCCTGATGGGGTAATATTGACTGGCTTGGAAATTAAGTTAAAATTACCATATATAAGACTCTGTAGAGTCTGAAACATAAAGATAAAGAAAAAACATAAATAGGCTGTCAAATATAAAATATGTTATATATGGTAATTTTATATCAACTTCCAAGCCAGTCTATGTTACCCCATCAGGGCTGACATTAGGTGGTCTAAGACTAAGTTCCCCCATTTGAGGGCAGCGCCCCCCATTTGCAAACTATGACACTTTCCTAAAATTTGACATTTGCATATGTAACTAGAAGAGTTCTACTACAATCATACAATGCATCAAAACCTGGAGTTATTTAACCAAAAAATGAAAAAATTGGAGGGGTTAGGTACTCTGACAGGCTTTAAACAGGGCTAAATGCTAATAGGCCTAGCTTTTTTCCAGTAGTTTCCAATGAGCTCAGTTCATAAATTTTCATTGCAGTGGAAGGTGGTGTAACACGGTGGTAGGGTTGGTATTTCGATACGTTTTCTTAAATTGACATGAGAATATATTACCTATACAGAATTCCACACTGATTATGGGGGTATTATTATGGGGAGGGGAACTTTTGCGCCATATTCCAAAATGGATTAGATGTAGGCTACTCTGAATTTCTGAGAGCATGTTAAATATAGAAATTATTTACAAATAAAGAGATTAAAAAAAGGGGATCATCCATATTGATTATTTAATAAAATTTATAATACAGTTCAAATAAAAAATATTTTAGTACATACACTTTTATTCCAAGAAAGAATTCTGACATTGGGCATTGGCACTTGGCAAGTTGGCATTGACTTCTTATCACACAGTTTTAACCATTGCTATCCACTGAGTATCCAATAACATTGAAATTTGATAGGTTTACTTTAAAGTAAACCAGGGCCCAGGCTATACAATATACATTCACTACTCTGAGTCTACTCACTACACTTGCAATCTGCGGAATCTAGCAATAAGAATTAAGTGATCTAGGTATATTCATTAATATGAAAAAAGTTATAAATGTGTAACTGTGTACCTAAGCCGTAAGGATTAAATTACCTAAGGAATTTACATCTATTGCAGCCGCAAGGCAACAGAAACCATTGGGCCGAATAAAATATCAATAAAGAATAAATTAGGTAACTCAGTAAACTCACCTTGTGGAACAAATGAAGTCTGATTTCAATATCAGTAATTATTTCAGAGAGAAGACCAAAACTGCATGGAGGATGAATATAAAAACTCATTCTAAAAAATCCTGTCTTATAATTTTTTCTTGTGTATTAACATATTAGTAATAGTGTAACTGTGTAATACACACTTGACACTCATTTATACAACCAAAATACAGCTTTCAAGCTAAGGACAATACGGTTTGTCGAGTGACGACACGTACCCTACTTGATATGTCGGCCGGCGACGGAATAACTGCGTCGACCGGCCTGACCCGCGTCCCATTACTGTCTACAGTCTACAGCACTCTACACTACACCAGACCAGTGTTGCCAGGTTTTTTTCTCTGCGAGAATACCAGATTGCCTAGCTCAAAATACCAGAAATTCTATTGTTCAAAAACAGATTATTACCTCCAAATTTAATGAAATTATTCGTTAAAAACGTTGGGTAAAAAAAGAAAAAAAATTATCTTATGTACTGTGCATTTATCTTGTTTGACGATAATTAGCCATATTGAACACGTTATATTTTTTCCCTCTGTTTGGAACATTTTGACGTTTCTTTTCCTGTGTTTGATTACCTCGTCACTTTTTCCTTTTTTATCAGTATGGCACTTCTCCCCCTTCGCTCAACATGAGCAAGACACGGATGACGGAAACAAGCCATCTTCCTTTTGCTTATTTTCGTACATGCTTGCATATCGCCTTTATCTAACATTTCGGGTGTGATCTATTATTGCGGTTGAGCAGATAGCTTTTGGTCCGAATAAGGGACTCCAATACTTAGTTGAAATTTTATTTCGTTGCTTGTTTTTCACATAGCTTGTTTTCAAACATTCGCTCCACGAATGCATTGGAGACAAGTCAAAGTAGACAAGTGATGCAGTAGGCAGCCAGTTCTATGAATGTATAATGATTTTCAAGATCAGTGAAATATTGAATAGCACCCCATAATGCAAGTGGCACTGCAATAAGTGGCACACTAGAATTCAAAACCACCAAACAAAAATGGTGGAACTTGCGTAGCAGAGATCAGTTTGACAACCTCACTCGTCCTAGGCCATATCATCACTGAGCAGTAATCAATCAAGAATCATCACTCTCCTGCTTATTTTGTACTAAGCACTTTTGTTAAACGTTAACAATTGGATTGGGGCCAATTCATCAAGTGGTAAACTTGCGGGTCCAAAAATGGCGGGAAAGCTCTAGTCGCGCCGCTCGGAAGGTAAATGTATGATGATTTTCAAGATCAGTGATATATTGAATGGCACCCCATAATTCAAATGGCACTCCAATAAGTGGCACACTATCTATACAATCCACGCCTACGCTGGAGGAAGTTCAAACGTCCGAGGTGGAACTTAATGCAGTAAATTTGCTGTAAGCACGAAAATACCAGATTTAGGCAAATATACCAGATCTAAAATATTCATACCAGACACCTTCTGAAAATACCAGATTTGTGAAATTTGGTATAGAAATATACCATCTGGCAACGCTCATCCATCGCTTGTGTGTGTTGCATGAGGCAGGGCGCCTGTGAATCGCTAGCTAGTCAATCGCATCGTTGCCCAAACGAAGCGCACGTAGACGCTGTGCAGGGGGCGGTGAGGCGCTTGACGCACGTGTGTTGCCCCCTAATGTGAACGGGCCTTAAAAGGCTACTCTGCCCTGTAGCTAGGAGGCTTGCCGCCTTGCGCACGGAAATGGGTATGAAATAAATGCTGGTATTGGCAATGCTGGCGTCTCTCATGCATCCCCCTAGATATGACATAGCAAACTTCAGACGAACCGTTGTTGCGGATTCCCACAGATTAACAAAAACTGGATTTTCAAAACAAAATTACAAATTTAAAATGTGATATTAACAACGATAACATAACAATGACTGAACTCAGGTGAAGCTGGCAACATCCACCAATTTGTGAGGTGGAAAGTACCTATAGGCAGACTATTCGAACATATACCTCTGCATAGTAGCTTCATCTTGTCTGTTCTTGAACGCGTTGATAATCTGAGCGTCAAAGATGCCAGGAGGGAGTTTGTTCCACATGTCTGTAACTCCAAGAGAGAAGAAGTATTGTCGCATGGATGAGTTGCATCATGTTTTTTTAGTCCTTAACCGTGGTCTCTGGTATTGGTTCTTGTTGCGTATTCTAGCAATCCTTCTGGAATCTTGTAAAAACCATGAGTATACTTTGTATTTTCAAACTCTGGGTGCGGGCGGACGAGAGCGTCAAACAATTGCTGCATCGTTTATACATCTAGGTACTCGTAAGATCGTCGACATGATCATTCCAAGCAATTAATTGGCTATATTAACTCGCACTTCGACATGCTTTTTGAAATTTCGACTTCTTGTCGACATAAACTCTCAAATATTTTTCCACATTCGACTTTTCAAGCATCATATCTCGTTGCAACCGCCTTCTCAATAAAACAGTTATGACTAACAAAATTCAGAAAATCATTAAGATTTAATTTCAGCATTACGGTGAGCTGGAAAAGTGTGAGATTGCAATGATATAGAGGGAATTCAAGGGGAGAATAGCATTACGAGCCAGAATCAATCCTAAGGCATCCAACGCGGATGCAAAATATCAAAATCATAACACGCCGAAGAGTCTGACCTTTTATTACGTTCCATAAAAATGACACTCTCTGGTGCCTTTACCAAATGAGAAATACATGATCACGAACTTTGCATGAAGGAAAGGGTTATGCACCACACAGGAAATGAATGTTATAAAAAAATGGTCGGTAAATAATTTAATCAATTTACTATTCACCTAACGGTTGTTTAAATGCTCGACTCTGAAAGAACAAAGGACATGACGTGGTAATCACTTACGAAGCTGTTCAATAAATAAATCGGTAAATAAAAACTTTCAGAAGAATGAACCTAGGGTCAAATTATGTGTGTATGGTAGATAAGCAGCATAACTACAGTAGACCTCGGAATAATCTCCCAGTCAGTTTTTTATCGATTAGCTGTATCACAATAATGCATTCTTCAATTACTCGGTTGGAGCCCGATTGTCAGAGAATCAGCTGGTCAAGTACGATCATGCAGAATCGTGAACACAATCGATTAACTTCGAGGGACGAAAGTCGGACCTAGAATTTTTTAATTTCCCAGGGCTTTCTTAGGGTTTTCCACAGGACATGACAATTTAGAGTACTGTTCGTCGTACGTACGTGCCTGCAGCATTGAGCTAATACTGAATACGATAATGTGTTTCGTTTCTGCTGGCTGATTTGGAATGCCAGATGTTGCTCGACTTCGGCTCTCCGCGCTTCAAGTCTGAAAACTCATCTTAGACGTTTATTTTTAGTTGCATTTCCGATAGAAGTACCGTGCCTAAAGCCTTTTTTCGTATTCAAAGTAGTTGATATGGCAGGCGTCAAATTATCAACAGTTGGAGCAATTTCAAGCGAGGTCGTCAACGTCTCAAGCTAGCCGGAAAAACTTAAAGAGTTTGGTTTATATATGAAAGTGACATGTGTTTTTATTTACTTTTTCAGTAAAAATTAGGAACACGATGTCAATATGAATTGGTGTATTGCATGAAAGTATTCATCCACCTTTCGTTCTGTGGCTCTTGCTACAGCTGTTGCTGCCGAAAGCCTTGGGACCAATTTATTGCGTAACCTAAGAGGGATGCGAAAAATACGACACAAGTCCCAAAAACTTTAAATAAATTATCAAAAACAATTTGAAGTTTACCATAGTCCGAGCAATTCCAAAATAATATTTATTTCCAGTGTCAAGACGGATAAGCGTCAAGAAATTTGTTGTTCAGTTATCAACTAAAATAGATGCTTACTTCCTAACCTACATGAATAAAAACAATAAAAATATCATTTAAAAAATTCTTGTACATCAAGTTTTTTCTACGTTTTAGTAAAGGTTCGAATGTTTTATTTGTCATTTGTTGTTCGTTGCCTTGACTTCCTCAATTCTCTTCTATATTACTGGCCACAAGCCGTCAACTCTCATCACAGGTGCCGTACTGTGTTGTAAGAGCCGCACTTGTGAACGTGAGCGCCATAACTTCATAGTAATTGATCCATGAATTACTTCCAAATTTGTCATAAATAGCGGCAATAATAATTAACCACGCTCATTTTGAGTTTGATAAAGTATCATTGAGATTAATATTATTTTCGATGATGCCGTTAATACAAATTTAGAGGCGTTCTTTAAGATGAAGAGATGAAATGAAAAAATATTGATTTCGTGGAGTAACTTGGAAAAAGTATTTTCACGGATCAGTTTTTTAAAATTGTTTCATAATTTTTTTTTTTAGTTCAGCAAGCTTTAAAAACTACAATACATTCTTTGCTCATCTAAGTCGTGATAATTAGTTATTCTTATCTCGATGTCACTGCCCGTATGATAATTTTACCCCTAGCACCTTAGCAACTGATTTAATACAAGCACGAACAAAAAATTTAAAATGGTTAGATTTCTTAAATGTTACATTAACCAACAATTTGAAAATAAATAATGTGTCAAAAAATCTGTCGTGTTCACTTCGAAAACGGTTTGGAAACCGGCGCCAGTTCAAAATTTACACAGTATACTTATTGGTATAATTCCAATTTATAATATAAATTTAGCCTTCCACAGTACTTGAGGGACAAAAAAATTACAAATTGTAGATTAAAGCCTAAATACACCAAAAACAGAAGACGTAACGTAAAAACCTATCACCCAACAACTGTGAGCGGATAAGTACAGCAAGCATTGTTTAGACAAGGTTTCCGCTTAGGAAACCGATTTCATGATCCTAAAACCTAAAGCACGTGTAGGTGGCCGCCTGCGTACAATTAATTTGCTGAAGAATTGATTTTTTATCCAATTATAGTGCGTGTCTCAATGAGTTTTCCAATGAAAATATTTTCAACGTTCTTTGTATTTTCTTTATTGAAATTCTTGGTTACCAGGATTTAGCAAATATATAAAACAATATGGGGACGTCGTTACGTCGCCTTGCCACCGATGAATGCATGCTACAGAGGCCATCACAGCCCATGTCCACTATTCAGTACTTATACAGTTAACTACATATAACTATAGTACTTATACAGTTAACTATTATTTGATACAGCAGGCTGTGGAGTGTGGCAGCTATGACTTAAAGTTGGTGTGGTGAGATGACTCTTTACCTACAGCTTCTTGGGTGTGAGGCTGAGTATAGTTATTGCATTATGAGGGTATGCGTTGGCGCTAGGGCCTATTTATGAATTAGATTGATGGTCCACGGCTGCGCTCCCGCCACCGAGATGTCTCGGTTGCACCATGCTACGAGCCAGTCAACGCACGTCAACTCTCTTCCGGCGTCGGGTGCTAATCATGTAGTTCTAGCCAATACAACTTACATGGTTCTTGCATCATTTCCCCTTTTTTCTATAAAAGAAACTGAATTATTTTTATGCCATGCATGTATATAGTTAAATTTAAATTATTTGGTCAGGATAATAAAGTTTACTTTATTTTTATTGCATTGATAATTGTACCAGAGAAATAAAAAACGCCGCTTCAAAGATTTACGAATATAAATTCGCCAATGGCAACATAACATCAGCCTCAAACGGTATCAATGTGAAATCTTATACGTACTAGTACTCAAATGCTTACTTCGTAACTGTATCCTCCAAATTCATACCGTGCTGAAGATACTCAGAATAATACCCGATGCGGACCATATACAAGAAGGGTATATGTTTTGCATTGAAAATAAATCCCACATGGAATTTCGTGTTGAGGGGCGGGGAATTTCGTGTTGGGCGACTTGAGGCATAAAATTTCGTTTTTCACTTCAATTTGTCGCTGTGAAGCTTGCAGGAAATTTTTATATTTTTTTTTTTTTGTAAATACGTATCTGCGTCTATTGCTCTTGGCTGAGGCAGTGAGAGTAAAACCAGTGTCAGGAGCAGACGAGGCTGAAGGGTCCGTAATGATGGTTACTGAAGTCCAGTTACTTGAAAAATGCTCTAAGTGCCGTGATGTATATATACACAATTCAAATTGAATGTGAAACGAAAGACATTCACAGAACTTGCGATAGTTAATAAAAATTTTAACACCTGTGCGGGATCAAAGATCCTATTGTTAGTAGTGCCCTCAATAAATAGAATATACTCAGAAACTCGAGCGTTTCCTAGTATATTGAGCTAGATTTTAAACCAAAATATGCTTATATGATGTTACAGGTGTTTTAAGTTACGTTCTGATAGATAGGCCGTTACGTTGAAACTTTCGAGATCGTGCCTCAGAGCTTCTATAAAGGCTATACACGTACGGCACGGCTAAAATAGGCCTGCGGTCGCAAATCTGATCTACTTACACGCAAAAAATCGTTTACACGCGGAAACCCATTGCATCATTTTTAGAAGCAATGGTCATGTGTCATTTCCTGAACGTGGGAGCGCGAGAGTTAATAACGTCATCTCCCACTTCACAATATAAGCCCAGAGCTCATAGCGTGTGAACACAGTAGGGTAACATGGGGCAGCGAGCCCACTGCGGGTCACGGGCCCATAGCGGGTTTCTCGCTAAGTATGGCAGATATTGGTCCGTGTTCTCTACCGCCGGTCGACAGCTTCACTGGGATGAAGTTTACGGATTTACGTTTTGCTAAATGTCTGCGTTATTAAGTTCTTTGCGAAAAACTGTTTTAGTCCAGATAAAAATTTTTTTGCCGCTAAATAAAGTTTTTTTCCATTACTATAGATGAAGATTTTGAAATTACTTTGAATTATTTTTTCAAAGTAATATTTATAGGGATAATTTTGAGACCAAGTTTAGACTATTAGCTTTTAAAATAAAATGTTGACACGATANATATATTTATTTTTCTAAAAGAAGCCTAGTTTTAATCCCACTTTCAGCTTCCACCCTTTCGAGATTTTGCAAATATATAGAAAAGTTTCTTGTGGTTTCTTCAAGTTAATTTGTCTTTTATTTGACAATTTAGGTTTTAATGTCTGCCTCTGAATTTTCGTGTACTGATTGATTGTACTTACATTCTAGGCTTGTCAAACTGACGATGGTATTGGACCTGTCTCTTATACACATCTAGATGTGTATAAGAGACAGATGTAGGACAGACGTAATGCAGGACAGACGTAATGTAGGACAGACGTAATGTAGGACAGACGTAATGTAGGACAGACGTAATGTAGGACAGACGTAATGTGCAGGACAGACATGCGGCAGCGCAGAACAGACGTAAGTGTTGCGCTCAGTTCATCATCAGGAGTTGACGCCTGCAATAATGACTGGTAGAATTTATGTGCCATAAAAAACTGCTTCCAACTTGCAGACAAGTAAAAAATTTGGGGTTGATAAGCGAGTAGCGGATTCAAGTGTTGCGCTCAGTTCATCAGCAGGAGTTGACGCCTGCAATAATGACTGGTAGAATTGATGTGCCACTAAAGTTGACGCCTGCAATAATGACTCGTAGGATTGATGTGCCACTAAAAACTGCTTCCAACTTGAAAACAAGTAAAAATTTTGGATTGATAATCAAGTAGCGGGTTCCAAAAACATTTAACGGATTAAGGCACTTAAATAAGTGAATCCAATAAGTTGCTAAGTTAAACGAAGTTCAATTTTATCAGCTGTTAAATTCCTCTTCTTGTTCAGCAATACATATGGTTTTATTTCTCTAATATCATAAAAATGGTTGTGCGAGCCTTTCACAGAGGCTCATACTGTAAAATGTTTCACTGAAGAGTAGCATCTTATTCTGTCACTTCACGCAACCCGGTAGGGGTAGTTAGTCCTGACCCTTGGACGGAATCTACAAATTAAAATGCATTTATGGCAGTTTTTAAAAGGAAATGCACGAAGATTCGTGTTCATCTCCATGAACGAAACGTTTTAAATTCAATATTCGTGCATCGAAGAATTTTATCAATTTTTATAAATGCTATACTGCAACTAAAAAGAAGCTGGGAAGCCGAAAATGGAGTTCAATTTAAGATATACAGGAGTTGTGTTCAATACATTGATACAATCGTCGCTGGTTTTGTATGTACTCGTTCTTTGACAGTTTCAATATTGATAGACACGGTTCTAACTGAACGATCATTTTTGACGGATGAAAACGAAATTTTCTGATGGGGTTTGACTCTTCCGGAGTAAATCAATTTATCGTCATTAGTCCACAGAATCTCAAATACAAAATTAATTGTTTTTAATTTCTCAAAGGCTATATCGTTCCTTAACGGACCGAAGTATTTAATCGATAATTCAACAGCGCGTAAATTAAATGAGATTGATCTCCCTGTTGTTCCTTAAATTTGTTTCCGGCAAAGTATGACCGGAAATCCTGAACAATTACTTTTGGTAGATTTTGGGCTCCTTAATTAGTTCCCGTCGGTTCAGACAGTCGGGTTGCCATTGATAAACCGTTGGCACGAACTAGTAACGTGGTTTTCGCGTGCATATCAAGTAAATATCCAATAAAACAGCATATTAAATAAGCACAGCTTAATCCATCACCTCAAAGCCACATGCTTTTGTTCCAGATGAGATGATGTCGGGAATTACTAGCGGCGTGGTGTCGCAGTCCATGCAGGGCCGGCGGGGGCGACCTATGATGCCGGTTCCTGTCGGAAGGGGCTATCCAGACTTTTTACCATTCGTGGAAACATCAAGGGATAACCAAAATGAGATTGTTTCTCGTGACAACAGGCGGGGCTACTACGCGCAACCTCCAAACGCACGAGAAAATGTTGCCCAGAAAATGAATCCTGGGAATAACATTCTAGAGGGCAATGCCAACATGGACATGGAGCTGAATATGAATGAGGTAAAATCTACAAATCGAATTTACCGCACAGTGCGCTAAATAGTTAAAAATAATGCAAGCCTGGAAATAGATTGAATTAAAACAAGAGTCGTCTATATATGTATGTGCATGGCATTAGACATATAAGCCTATGCTGAACTAGCATGGATCCGGCATGAGAAGGACTCTCAATATTTTTTTTTCTTTTAGTAGTTCACCATCAAACTCTTTAATGACATATCCCATACAACTTATCTCATATCTCTCAACTTCTTTATCACTTTTGGTCGTGTTACGTTGTTTCAGGATATTATTTCGATGCTTCGTGTCAGGTAATGCACAATATAAGTCCCCACGAGTGTCGCTCTAAAGATGTGTCTTCGTGAATTATTCGAGCCGATTTTCCTCTCCCTATGATTCATCCAGCTGGATTTGCTCCCATACGTGAAAATAGGAACTTCTTTTCTGTTTGTTACCATTATACTTTGGTCCTGTGTCTGAAACTATTTCAAAATAGTTTATAGTTTTATTCAAGTAATACCTTGCAAATGTCCGCCTTTGGTTGAATAATTAATACTACTAATAATAATAATAATAAAATAATCAGCCTGTGGTTGAATAATAATAAAAGATGAATAAATTTAAGATCAGCTCTGTCTTCAGTCATGCTGACACTCTCCCAAATTAATGTGATCGTCTCAAGTTTACAAATACTCTTATGCGCAATGCACGTCAGCACATTGGTATGACGCCACGCAACTTTTAGTCGAGGCTGGCGGAGCATAAAGGTAGGAGTTATTGAACAGGAAATGCACATCCCCCTCATTTAACTGTACGAGTTCATGCCAAGCAGTACGTTGTCCCAGTCTCCGATAGCAATTTACCAATTTTCTACAGCCCGTCTTTCTGCCTTATGAATTTCAGAATATATATTTATTTTTCTAAAAGAAGCCTAGTTTTAATCCCACTTTCAGCTTCCACCCTTTCGAGATTTTGCAAATATATAGAAAAGTTTCTTGTGGTTTCTTCAAGTTAATTTGTCTTTTATTTGACAATTTAGGTTTTAATGTCTGCCTCTGAATTTTCGTGTACTGATTGATTGTACTTACATTCTAGGCTTGTCAAACTGACGATGGTATTGGACTCCAAAATATTTTCTTCTACTTAATTATAGTGAAATTTTGCGCAATCTTATCTATTTTAATTTCCAGCTGATATGTTTTTGCTTCAGTCGTACGTAAGTCTTAACGTTTACTTCTTCCCAGCTGTCCATGGAAACTCAGCTGTTGATGAGCGAAGCCAAGACAGTGGAAGAGTTCGCCCGCATCATGGGAATTGAAATGCCTCGTCTCAACGTCACCGTGGCCTCATACCCCGGCATTGTAGAGAGATCCGGGGGTTCTAGCGATGATGGTGAGCATCATGATATCCTGCCACATGACTGGTATGACTGCATGACTGCGTGACAGTTGCTCATTCTAAGCAGCACTGCGCATATTCTGTGTAAAGCAAATACGACATATCGATATAGGTACATATTGGGATGATATCGACACCTCTTCCCTGCGTGTAAACAGGCAAGGAGCGGCAACTCGCTCACGCGCATAACCAAGCTCAATCCGTAAGTCCTGAAGAATTATAACGGTGGTTATGTAAGGCGCCAAAAAAACTCGACTGTTAAAAAATTCTCGTTGCGCAGAAAGGTCTGTTAATACATTGTTGAATAATCGTGCATCGTAGCGGAGAGAATATCGAGCTGGATAAAAATGTTTCCACACGTTTTACACAGGATTAAGTTCATATAACGTAAAATTTATTCTTCAAATTTATTATAGGTATTATTTCAATATTAATGAGGTATCGACGGCTACTACTTATTATTATTGTCTTTGCGTGTAAAGGAACAGTATTTAACACTTCATCACCACTTACTCCGTGCCTCCGAAGATAGAGTCATAAGATAAGTATGAACATCTTCAAAAACAGACTAGACGAAGCTATGCAGGAGCATATGTTCAGTCTTAAAATGCCTAGCAAATTACGGAGCAGGCAATAAGTCCAGCAGCTATCTCAATCAATCGTCAGTTATGGAAAGATCGGGTTCCAAAGGCCAACTAGACGAAGCTATGCAGGAGCATATGTTCAGTCTTAAAATGCCTAGCAAATTACGGACCAGGCAATAAGTCCAGCAGCTATCTCAATCAATCGTCAGTTATGGAAAGATCGGGTTCCAAAGGCCGGATCCCTTGTGAATCAAGTCACGAAAAGTTCAAGAATCGGCAACAGGCCATGGGCCTATATTTTCAACGCCGACACTTCTATTCTATTCTATTCTATAAGTACCTGAGGTAGTAAAAAATCCTCCTATGAATGTCGGTGCATAGCTGGTCCCGTGCTGGTCCACACTCGCATAGTTTGCCAGGGCCAATGGCGTGGTCGCAACCGAAGTAGGAAGCACGGACAAATTTACCTAAAATACCGGGTAAATTCACCTTCTCCAATTTGGTAAAATTTAGAGAAGTCCATCGTGTCGCAAACGACACCACGAAGTCCAGCACGTGTCCACGCTCACGTCCAAGATCTTGACCCTGCTCATGCTAGGCTTCCAATAAAGGCTTTGCTTCATTAGATAAAAAAATATAACTCAGTACTCACTGCAGTGAGTAACAGAGCGCATTTTCTCGTCGACGAAAACGTGAAGTCACGGACGGACGGACAGACAGACATGGTGAGCACAATAGTGCATTTTTTCCATAAATGAGAAAGCGCTAAAACTGCAAGGGCTAGGCATGCACCATATCAAGGCGGCGTAACCATGCATTCACTGGCCGCAAAAGATGACGTAGCGGGACTAGCGCGGAGTTGCAGTAGCATTCTAGGAGTTGCAGTCAAAGAATCAGGCAACAAACTGGTGAAAATTCTTAAATATAGAGTGAATTAAAATATCAGAGATGAGATAAAAGGTTTCACTCATATTTTCAGGTTTAAGCTCCCTCAGATGTCACCTAAAATCAAATCAAGCACGGAGCAAGCTATGACGAAGCTACAGTATGACCCGAAATTAATGGTAATGAAAAATAAAACACGTAGCAATCTAATTATCCTGTCACTCTGAACATGTATACACGTATAATACGTGTATAACGTATTGCTTGAATGTTTTCGTAAAAGGTATACCAACAGGGCCCATTTGTGTAGAGTTGAACTGCATGTAATACTTTCTTACCGGGACCAAGCAGTTAAATTCACATACTGTACAGTCGTTCTGCTTCCAAATATGTTACATTTCCTGTCCCTCATGCAGTTACTGAATTTTTTTAGTATCCCGTTTAATGCACAGGAAATCCAGTTATAAGTATCGTTAGAAATGTTGCTACAGACATTGTAACCTTTAATTACCTTTAATACTGCATATGCTGCCAACAGAAACATCTTACACAGACTTGTGCACACCATCACATATGCGGTCACGTATACCAATTCAATTGCGACGTTCATCTTCAGGCACATGCTTTTTCGTAAACAACTGCAAATATAGATACATATGAGTGTGAAGTTACTTTTATTTTGCAGTTGCAAATGATGCCAATCATCGTACGCAAATGATGCTAATCATGCATTGCATGCGCTTCTACATATACTATCGCTTGCATTATTTGGTAAACTTTTTTACATAGTCTCGCAATTCGCGCGCTAAAAGGTGGTTTCAAGTTTGTAAATCACTAAATATCTTCTTGTGTCACTAGTGAATTGTCGTAAGTAAGTACCAGTAATCACTAGTGAATTGTCGTAAGTAAGTACTAGTAATCACTAGTGATGTGTCGTAAGTAAGTACTAGTAAGTGTCATAGTCGTACACACAGTCGTAAATGTAAACGATATGTAATTTAAAGTAAAAATCTGAAAACGAGAGTCTTTATTTGACAAATAAAAAAGGTATAAGCTTGGATAAGCTTATACATTTTTTATTTGCCAAATTTAATTTGTAAGAAGCACGTGGGGCCTGTAAATATATGAAGGCCTATGCAATATGCATTTCGTCTCGAAATAATAATTAAGCACAAAGTTGTATTTTTAGATTTGGAATAAAGAGACATTGAAAAATTGGGGTAAGTTTGATTGAAAAATGTGAAAACTGATATTAATTTGGTGAGTGTAACAATTATTCAGGAAATAATAAAGATTTTCCGTGAAATTTCAAGACGGGACTTAATGGGACTTTCATGCTGAAGGTGAATTTGAACGAGTTTTTCTTTACTAACCATAATTTTGTTTAAACGTTTTCCGCTGAGTTCTGAATGATTTAATGTAGCATGACGAGATTCGGAATAGCATGAATCTCGAATTCATCTCGAACACGAAGAAGAGGTTCTCGAGCGCCTGGTAGCTCATAATCCCAACAAGTCATGTGGACCAGACGGCTTCCATCCCAGATTGCTCAAAGAATTAGCATCCGTTCTGGCCGGCCCATTGACAGTATTCTTTCAAAAAACCTTGAACGAAGGAATTAAGCCGACCGCGTACTCTATGACCCACTGCAAATTTCTTTACTGCCACTTCTGATCCATGTTGCATAGCGGGTCTTCCTCCCAAGCAGATTATGCGGGCGGAGAAGTTAATTTCCTCGAGACCTTCTGCCGGCGTCAAGAAACGTCGGTACACGCGGCCCGTACGACAACAGTCGAACCCTGATCGTCGAACCCAACGTCGAACCCGCTTGGCACCCTCAAGGTCTATGATTTGAACTCAACTATTTTTGAAGTATATTTTAAAATATCGTTAATTCTTTCATGTACCTACCGTTGCCTGGCCCCCGATCATGGTGTCGCAATTAATCTAATAATGATTACTGTACAGCTACATCACAATAGACGAAGAGGCGCACAACCAGTGTGAATGCCAGTGTCGCATTCAGGAACAGGACTGTAACCCGGCAATTCAAGACTACAACTCTACCAACTGTCGCTGCGTCTGCAAAAATCAGTAAGTCTTTGGCGATCAGAAAGGTGCAAAATACGGTCTAGACCATCGAATTTGTTTCCATCTGGCAACTTATTAATATTGTTTAGCGTCCAACAAATAAATAATTTGTTTTTACTTCGCAAAGAAACGCATGATGTATTCAGGTTTCTCTTTGAATTCTTTGTCGTTTCTTGGTCTACGACCGTCCATGTGAGTCCTTACAGTTTCCAGCCTCATATGTGAAAAAATATTTCATCAAGATTTCCGTTGAAGTTAGCCGTGCAATGGAACACTGTACGGAATCAGTTCAGCTCAAACCTTAATCGATCAAGTTGATGAAGCCAAAAGGTAAACGACTAGGACTGATCAGACGCTCATATACGAGTACCTATAGATGCAGAAGCGATGAAACTGTTGTTTATCTCTGTCGTGCGTCCGAACCTAGCGTTTGGAAACACCGCGTGTTCATAAAAAAACTAGAAAATGACAAAAATTTAGTCGAGAGAGTTCAAAGACGTGCAACATGGATAATTCCGGGATTAAAAGGCAAATATTATGAAGAAAGATTAAAGATTATGAAGCTTCCATGACTGTTTTCGACGTCTGCGTGGTGACCTCATTGAGGTATATAAGTATATCCATGGTTTACGCAAGGTCTCAGTAGGAGTCCTAAAATTTTATACAAGAACAAAACCAGGGCCCAAGGCTATAAACTAAAAAAACTGCTTTGTAACACATCCATGCGACAACATTTCTTCTCGCTTCGAGTCGCCGACATGTGGAACAGCCTCCGTGATAGCATCGTTGACTCTCAGAGTATGAACGCCTTCAAGAACAGACTAGACGAAGCTATACAGGAGCATATGTTCAGTCTTGAATCGCTATAGCACCTTACGGGCCTGGCAATAAGTCCAGCAGCTATCTCAAACAATCGTCAGTTATGAAAAGATCGGGTTCATAAGGCCGGATCCCTTTTGGAATCAAGTCACGAAAAGTACAAGAATCGGCAACATGCCATATGCCTATTTCTACAGTGCCGACACTTCTATTCTATTCTTCTATTCTAATATCATAAGCAATTTAAAAATAGAAGCAGACAAATGAGTCTGATTCGAGTAAATGTAGGTTCAGAATAGCCCCCGAAGTGCTACTAAAAATGAACTAATTGTTTTTTTCGACATGATTTATATTTGTATCCTCACTCTTACAGGGATGAGCAGAGCAAGTGCAGCGATAAAAACCAAACACATTACTGGAGCGAAAAAGACTGCGCGTGCTACTGCTATACCGACGAAACCTGCAGCACCGGCCAGCGATACGATCACAATCTCTGCAGGTGAGACCAGGAGGAGTCACGTCTGCGGGAATGATAACTACATCTCTAGGTGAGAGGAAGTAGGATCAGGTCTTCAGAACTGATCGCTGGTAGTTTTGCCACGACAGAAAAGCTGAACACAACATCTGCAAGTTAGACCTTAAGATCCCCCCAGGCAACATACCCGGAGTGTTTAGGGACACACACCCAAGGCCATGCTGAAAGCGCCACCTTAATGACGGTGACTCCACTAGCGACCACTAGCCGTCCACTAGCGACACCGAGACATTATATCTATATGAGCTTCCCGGGGCTCGAACCCACGCCTAGCTCCTCCATCTCGGTGCCGCTCTACCGTCGAAGGGTAAAGGACGAAGACGAAGAAGGGTAAAGTCTACCTGACAGTAGATCATTCTTGCAGGTGAGACTGAGAGAATAGAACTATTCACGACAGTTGATTCCACCTGTAGAACGGGTTATAGGTGGGACTAACTGCGGGACCGGGTGATTCCCGAAGATCTCTGAGGAATGATCTCATTTGCTGCATTCATAATTAGCAATTCAAGTTCTGATACAACCTCTATAAATTCCAATCCATGGACAGAATTTCACTTAAACAATGCAGTTATCTAGAATACGTTCGAAACATAAATTCGACAGTCAGTAGAGAAGAGTGCCACAGACCACTTGTGAGGGGTAAGGTACTCTTAGAATACATTCATATTCTGCTCTCACAAATTTGTAGGTAATGGATGGTTAGAAGTAAAGCCACACATTTTGTGCGAAAGAATGCTAAACTCGAGTTGAATTGAAGCTATTTATTAGTTCGCGTTCATTAGTTAAACTAATTTTTTGGCCTCTTAGCCATGAATTGCAAAGATTTAAGAAGATGATGATCTAATTTTTATGATTTACAGTGATTTATCTTTTTCAGACTTATTCTTACATGTTAAATCTAAAACTTCAGGAAGCAAACATGGTTTTCAAAAAAATTCCGACAGGACATATTAATTTCTGTTTCGAATTTTCCTCAACCGAGATCTGTATTTGTGTCACATATCTGTAGTAGACCTTGACGTAATCACTCTTAATTATTTCTCTTCACAGATGCACGAATGTGAACTTTGCGGCTCGATTACGACTCTCTGAACTCCCATCGTTCGCTACCGGTGAGTCAAACCAGAGCAGATTTTCAACAGCGAAAATTAACAACATTTTCAACAGCGATAATTAACAACAGATTAAGTGTTGTCGATAACAACAGATTAAATAAATCGACAGATGATTAAGGAATTATTCTAATAATAGTTATCAAACTAAAAAATTACAAATTCCATACATGTTTACAAAGCTAACTCTGCTACGATTCGCATCTATGACTTAGAATAACAAAGGTTTAAATGACAGCATACAATCGTAAATTGGCTCGAGAGACTTGACGTGTCATGAACACGTGGAAAAAAAACCTACAGACTCACAGGACCCAACCTCAAGTTAATCAACTCAGTTCGTGTATAAATAAACATTGGTAGTATTGTATTGTGTGCTTATAAACTTTTGACATTTAATTTTAATTTACAAATTTTAATTTAAATATTTAAGTCCATGATACAGCCAAATAAAGTTAACTAATATTTCCAGGTCTGGACCGCCGGCCGGCCACTCGAGTGCCCATCACGTTCGGAGGGTGAAGTGCGACGCTCGTTAACTTCCCTGCGGATTTGTTTTGTTCTGACCAACTTACAAATATAAACAAATTATCTTTAATCAACAATGCTTGTAGCTTCTATGAGACCTGAATTGCAACATTATTGTCTATAATTAAATTCTGAAGTCAAACACACTCGTGACAAACGAGTACTTTCTGGGCATCGATATTTTAAAAATTTAGTACCTTAAATATTGCAATGACTTTAGAGAGTAGAGTAAGCTAAAATTTTCATCGTTTTATCTATGATTAAGGAAACTGGTCGGCCCTGAGTGTCGTCAAAGCAGCTGGACGCATGACTTCTATAGTAATATCCCAGCCGCACGCAAAATAATGTTAATTGGAAGAATCATTTCTATAGAAGCGCTGACTCACCAATTATAAAATATATACTCATTGCCATAAAGGACTCATAAAAAACTACCATATCAAAATTCTTATAACTCTCACATTTTCTTGCCCAATTTCAAATAGCAGATGTTTACGCATGGACAGTCATCGTAAAATTAAAATTAGGTCAATATGGACTATAGAGTTTTTTATTATTATAGACAAAAGATTTATATCATATTGACGTTTGCAGACGATTTGCAATAAGTAATAAATAAATCGACGATGAGCTCGCAACGTTAAGAATATTTTCGTATATTTTAACGCGAATTACTGAGACTTTCGTCTATAAAAGTTACACGAAGTTGGATTATTTTGTATGCAAATGGTAGCGTTAAGCTTAAGAATATAAAATCATTATATGAAACCTATGCATTTTTATATCATTTTAGCTTAGATACTCCTTTAGTTATTATGTTAACGATAGGAACAATGTGCGCTATTCATTTAATATAGGTTGTAAATAAATGACGCTTTGCAGAAACACGGCAACTTCAATCATCCCTAATGATTATCTTCAATATTCACGAGTTGAAATTGTGTACAGTGGATAATTAAAATATTCCCTGATCTGATAAAAATCTTGATAAAGGTGAAGTTGAAGGTCAGTTCTAACCGATGAGAAAATCTCGACGATTTGAAGTCCTATTTTATATTTTGTGAGACTGCGTTTGAATTATTGGTATGAAACATTTTTAAATTTATAAGAGTACTAAAGTGCTTCTGAAGAGAAGTGATATTAATGAAGAGAGAAAAAAATTGCCGCTACTTTTCCCGTTTATTGTCTTTCAAATAACGTAAGGAAAAAAATATTGTGGAAATTTTGCATTGCGATAACTACGCCACCATAAATTTGTGATGAAATATGCGTGTTTTGTTTCCAAATGTGACTGAAGGCGATTAATTATATTATTTAAAAAAGTAGAGTCATCGTCCAGTCAGCATTTCTTGCTTTTCCGTAAACCTTCTCTGTCGTGCTAGTAGAAACGTTGCTGTTTCTGTTCCCTTCCAACAATTTCTTTCTTCAATTACACAGTTGATCATTTTCATTGCCGACAAGTCGTCTTGAGATGATCATGTATAGTTTTTTTTTAATTCAAGGTTATTAAACTGAATTAAAAATTTACCTTCTTCTCAAGAGATGAACCGATGAGATTTAATCAAATGAACAATATGTAATTTTCACATTTTCACTTGATTAATACTCACCAATTCGTTTCACTCACCACATTCGACTCACCAGTGCAGTGTCGTGTATTGCATGAAGTTGTATGAAGCAGTGCAGTGTCGTGTATTGAATGAAGTTGTATGAAGAACTCCCGATGCTAGCCTCGTCGTCATACCGAATGATGCTAGCCAGAAACTCATCCCAGTCTTTTTTATTTAATAAAGATCGGATACGAAAATCAATAGAACAGTAGATATTTTTTCTTTGAAAATATAATAAACATTACCTGTGATTTTTAACTGAACTTAATTATTTTCAATACTGATATTTTATCAGAAGATATACACTCAAATTGTGAATAGAAATTTAACGAAGATACGCATATAGAATTAATTAATATTAGTATAGGCTGGCAGAATTTCTTCTCTTAAGCAAGTTTTGTTAAAGACCAGAGAATTAGTTTTATTTATTAGCTTCTTGTTAGTTTTTTCAATATGAATCTTTATTGAAATTAAAGAATGAAAATAAAATTGACATNTGAAGCAGTGCAGTGTCGTGTATTGCATGAAGTTGTATGAAGCAGTGCAGTGTCGTGTATTGCATGAAGTTGTATAAAGCAGTGCAGTGTCGTGTATTGCATGAAGTTGTATGCAGCACACCCGACGCTAGCCTCGTCGTCATACCGAATGATACTAGCCAGAAACTCTTCCCAGTTTGATACGTTCTGTTTTCAGCACAATATTAAAAACCAATGTAAGTAATAATTTAATAAAGATCGGATACGAAAATCAACTGGACAGTAGAGATTTTTTCTTTGAAAATATAATAAACATTATCTGTGATTTTTAACTGAACTTAATTATTTAATTTATTTCCAATACTGATATTTTATTAGAAGATATACACTCAAATTGTGAATAAAAATTCAACGAAGATACGCATATGGAACTAATTAATAGCAGACATGAATCAAGATTAAATAGCATTAGATTATGATCATACGGGACCTATACAGAGCCCATGTCAATCATAAACATCATCGCCGGAATTTCTGTTTTCCAAACGTAATTTTTAAATAAATACGCCTAACGTTAAGAAATGCTTCTGCCTAGCGTTAAGAAATAACGAAGATTTCTAACGTTAATAGAAGAAGTTAATCTAACGTTAAGAAATTCTTCTATTGAAAAAGCAATTCTTTACATTTGTTTTAGATGTGATATTAAGATTATTCTTTTGTTTTATTTCGAATAGTTGTAATAAATACTAATAAATCGAAAAAAATTGTAAATGCTTGTTCCAAATCTAATGTATTTAATTCAAATCGATATATTGATTTTGACACGTCTCTTGCGAACAATCCATACGAATTGACTACGAGAAATTAATTAAATTTATCCTGTTCTGTTTAATCACCAAAACGCAAGTGAAAGTTCTCCGTAATAGACCTGCCGGGAGCCGCTCTTTAATTCATCAGTATATACATATAGGTTCTTCCTCATACCTAGCCGCTCTTTTTCATCAGTATAAGTTCTTCATCATACCTCGCAGCTCTTTTATTCATCAGTATAAGTTCCTCCTCATACCTCGCAGCTCTTTAATTCGTCAGTATATACATATAGGTTCTTCCTCTTACCTAGCCGCTCTTTTTCATCAGTATAAGTTCTTCCTCATACCTCGCAGCTCTTTAATTCATCAGTATAAGTTCTTCCTCATACCTCGCAGCTGTTTTATTCATCAGTATAAGTTCTTCCTCATACCTCGCAGCTGTTTTATTCATCAGTATAAGTTCTTCCTCATACCTCGCAGCTCTTTAATTCATCAGTATAAGTTCTTCCTCATACCTCGCAGCTCTTTTATTCGTCAGTATAAGTTCTTCCTCATACCTCGCAGCTCTCTTTTTCATCAGTATAAGTTCTTCCTCATACCTCGCAGCTCTTTTATTCGTCAGTATAAGTTCTTCCTCATACCTCGCAGCTCTTTAATTCATCAGTAAAGGCATTCTCAGTCAGTAGCCAGGGCGTGTAATGTTTATTAAGATGTAATGTACAATTGAGTTCTGCGAAAAAGGATCAAAATTTACTATGTAGGTATAATTAATATATGATGATGTTTCGAACTAAACACTTAAAAATAAACAAAATTTAGGATAATGACCGGCACCTCTTTTCGAAATCATAGACTGAAGCTAACGTTGAAATTTCTGCATGTTCGAGGCGTAAGCTGTGCATACAAACCTAATGAAATTATAAAATAATTGCAATGGAATTGTAATTAAGGTCAACTATTTATTTCGTGAACAAATTTTTCGAGAGAAAAAGATTACGTATTGAGCTTTGTCAGCAGTGAAGGTAATAATGATATTTAGTCACTTAGAACGAAATAATGTTGATTGTCATGATATCAAGACAACATGGACGGACCAAGTTATAAATCGTGGACACGGAAACAACTAAGAAACTAACAATTCAGCGAAACCAACGCTATGATTAATTAATTAAGTAGCCTTGCTGCTCTATTTTCATTAAGCTGTTCTACACGTTAAACTAAATAAGCTGTTCTACGACCATTTAGTAGCACGCCGGATTTCTCCGATGTACCTGTTAATAAATTGCAACAAAAGCGCTTAAAGCAAACATGAATCAAAATTGGGTCAAGAACACCTTGAGAAATAAGTGAAATTTTTCCAAAAAAAGGAAGCACTTATACTCAACCATTTTGCCTCAACAAAAGTAGCATATCACCACTACGTGAAAAAAGTGTGGCTTTATTTGGACAATGTGACCCATTTATTTATTCAGAGTATACAGGTGTGATATTATACACAGGATGTCCTCTATAAACCACTATATACAATGGTTAGTTAAGCGGATGAATGGCTAATGTTCGAGATAATATAATGTAATCTCCAATTGACGTCACTCTTATCGGGACTTTTATGAGTCGGAAAAAAACGTGTGTGCCGACCCATATGTTCCTAACGATGATGTCAGCAGGTGTCAAGAGGGTAGTAGAGGTGTCAAGAAGTAGTAGAGGTGTCAAGAGGGTGGTAGAGGTGTCAAGAGGGTAGTTGAGGTGTCAAGAGGGTAGTAGAGGNAACAATGTATCCATTTAAAACAATAAATATTTACAGAGCAACTCATCATTGGAAACATCAATGCGAAGCGCAATGTGATAAGGAATGTGTTATGAATTCTAACTATTATTTGTATATACTCGTCTGAACGTGTATTGCACATGTTCTGCAGTGATGGAACACGGTCACCTCATGTTCTTTGTTACAATGGAGAACATTTCTTGAAATCGTCAAGCGTAATACAAGCACCTGTCATTCTAATTACCTTTAGACTGGAAAGTGTGCAAAATTAATTTTTTTAATATCAATAATATTATTTTAGGTATCAGTAACTTGCTGATAATAAATGACGACTATAATTGGAAAACCTCTTCTATTGGTCGTGGTCTGGAGAAGTTTAGAAAAGGAATTATTTATATGTTTAATTTACGTTTATTTACAAATAACCGACCCTGCCATTGGTCACAAAAATTAAAGGTTAAACGACTGGTTTTCTTGATATCATCTTCACGATTTCATGACCATTTAAATATAGTGCAACATTTTTCATTACTGATACATCATGTCAAAATTTATGGATTATTTTATTTAACTGTCTAGTTATAATGAATACTGCTTGTCTAATGATGAACAACTCTCTTGCTTGATGAGTTTCAACATCAAAAACTACTTTGTAACTCTCGCTGCAGATAACTTCTTCAGAAGTTGCCGCCGTGGTCGCTACCTGACGTAGAACCGCTGCAATGCTAGCGCCAGCCCCAGGAGGGAGGCGCTTGGAACGCTTGAGCTACAGACACCTGGTAAAATATTATTAATTGATGGAATGTAATATAGTAGTTTGCAATAACTTAACTGTAAATATTAATATGTGATCAGGGTTGTAAATACTATATCTTTCGATTGGATAAGGATTGTGTTGCTTGGGTATGAAAACAATGAAACGCTAGTTTGGGTCTTGTTTGAGTTTCGGATCGTTCAATTGAATATTATACATGTGCATGTGACTATTAGTATGTAGTTGTCCAGACGCTTTTATTTGCTCCAAATTTTGTTGAAGGCCAAGGAGTTACTTTTAATAACGTTTTTATCAGTAACATTTTGTGTTTCTCAGGGTTTCAGTTTAATTTCCTGATTCAATTAAACACGAATTTGGGGTTGAAAACAAAAATTGAAGGTTTACAATGGCCATTTTATGCTCTTGATACGACGTAACTAACAATAATTTTTCATATTAATGACGAACAATATGTTTGCAGCGTTATAAAGTGTGATTTCAGGATGAATAGGTACTAATACTAGGTATTATTTGAGATAAAAACTCAAGAATAAGATATGGATTACTGCGAAAAAATTTACCATGATCCCCAACAAATCGGCATGTTTTTAAATTGATATCTGTAGCGCTTTTTTCATTTCATATTGTAACACTCATTACACTAATTAGAAATTGCATCGCTTATTAATTATTGGATAAATTACTCATTGTAATGACTTATTACCGTTAGGACCTGTTGATAATAAGTCACGAGGGCACGACTTATTGAAGTTCCCGATGTAGACGTCGTATTCGGCAAGAAGTTGTTCCCCAGCCTGCAGCTTCCAGACATTGTCTCGGCAGACCAGCGTGCGAGAGTCGTGCGACTTGTCGCACAGCAGAGTCGCCTGCGTGGAAGCAATCAAACGTATACGTATAGTATAAAGTAAATATATATATATTAATTTATGTTGTGTTTCGTTAAGAATATATAATATTCTTATTTTCACACATGCTGTATTTAAACCTGCCGCTGCTTGTCACTCGTTTATAGAAAAAATAATAATAGCTTACACAAATAGAATGGTCAGCCACATTTACAGCACGCATTCAAATGATCAGAAATTAACATTAACCGTTCATTATGTTGTAGCGGGCCAGCTTTGGCCATGCTATTAGTTTCTTCAGCCGCCGCACCTCTCTAACGAAGACCGACGATAAAAAGTATGCGTAGATTGTCTAGGGAAACAGCAGAATGCTAGTAGGCAGCCTACCTTTACCTGACTTACCACACTTTGTAATGACTGTAAATAACTGTAGTTAATGTCCATATAATGTCTGTGTTCGTAAACCTAGATGCATTTAGTGATAGTCCTGTGTAGTGGATGCCAGTTTTCCATGAAATTTAAGTAAACCTTATGGCCTTTGTAAATTTGCTGAACCGGTTTTCATTCATACTCGTACGTTAGGGCCCGGTTGCAGAGACCCAGTAACTTTGTATATGGAGCGTAGTTATCCCGCTACAATGTCACCGTCGATATTTTAGCAATAGCGAAAAATAAATCTTAATGATGGTAATCAATAATCAATGTGAAGCATACCGTGAGATTAGACAGGCGATTTGAGCTGTAGATTTTGCCGGCGCAGTTTTCAGAGAAGGCGGAGAATTTCAGTGACAGTCCATCAGTGATGTAGCGCTTAGGTACTTCTACCAGGCAGGCATCTGAATAGTCTGTTAAATGAAATGGATGAATCAAATCAAAGAAAGTTTTTTTCGCTGATTAAATTAATTAATTATAATATGCCTTATATTATTAGGGTTATGACAATTATGACGATGATTAGGGTTATGACGATTATGACGATGATTAGGGTTATGACGATTATGATAATTTCGTTGACGATTTTTAAGTCGTTGTAACATGATGATGCAGCAATTTTATTGGAAAATACATAGTTTCTCGATTTGAAAGTAAATAGAGCTTGGGAGTATTTTAGATAATTATGAAATATTCCAGAATATTTTGAAATATTTTTGGAATACAGCGACCTTCCGGGAGGGAGGTAAGACAAAAATAATATTTTATCTATCAACATCCAAAATTTGCACAAAATCTCTATGGTGCGGGAGTCGTGCGTCTTGTCGCACAGCAGAGTCGCCTGTGTGGAAACAATCAAACGTGTACATATTAAACAGAGTAATGGCATATATTAATTTATGTTGTGTTGTATTAATAGTACCTATACAATATTTTTATTTTCACACAAGCTGTATTTAAACCTACCGCTGCTTGCCACTCGTATATAGAAAAAAAATAATGACTTACAAAAATTTAGTGGTTAGCCACATTTCCAGCACGCATTCAAATGATGAGAAATTAATATTAACTGTGCATAATGTCACCGTTGATATTTTGTCAATTTTAAAACTGAAATTTGAATGATGGGCAATCAATAATCAATATGAAGCATACCGTGAGATTAGATATGCGATCTGAGCTGTAGATTTTGCCGGCGCAGTCTTGGGTGAAGGATGAGAATTTCAGTGACACTCCGTCAGCGATGTAGCGCTTGGGCACTTTTTCCAGGCAGACATCAGTGCCAGACACTTTTTCCAGGCAATTAAATGGATGAATTAAATCAAAGAAAGTTTTTTGATTTAATTTAATTTAAATTAATTAATTATAATATGCAATAGACGCATTTTATTATTATGGTGACTATTGACGGCGATATGACGATTTTCGTCGACGATTTTTAAATCGTTGTAACTAGATGCAGCAATTTTATTGGAAAACAAATAATTTTTTCCAAACGGAGTTTGAAAGTATTTTTAAAAACTATGAAGTATTTCTGAATATTTTAAAGCATTTCTGGGGCACAGGAATTTTGCAGAAGGGAGGTAGGACAAAAATATTTCAGCTCTCAATAATCCAAATTTGCACAAATAATAAACGGTACAAATGGAACGGAAATTGCAACTTATCACTATTATTTAATTAATATTAATAAATAATATTGAAGAATAAATATTTAATAATAGTAACAGTAATAAATAAATATTAATACTATTAATTATTCATTTTCATCGTTGATAATTCTCGATTCCCGTCACATTTGGCAAAATGTCATTGTTCAGCATTTCAATAATCCCAATAAATGATGGAAATCCACGGTGAATCGTGATATTCGTAGATTTCGGCAATGAAATCTTCAATGAATTTTAGTGTTTCCAACTGCAGCAAATTATTTTGAAATATACGTGCAGGTTATGGTCGTATCTTGTTGCTGTTTGAAGAGAATTTCTTTTAAAGTAATTTTCTTCATCATTCACAAAACATGATTGAATTACTCTTAAAAATTCCTACATAAAGCTATTCTAAGCTATTAGTCACCTGCTTCTATCGTTGAGATAGCGACGGAACACTCAACGTGAAGCTGGTCTAACATTTTCCTTGCCACATCATACACCTTTGTCTCCTAATTAAAAATCTATTCTGTGCAGCGCAGTCTAAATTTTCCAATTCGAATTACTATTTGCAAGTTATTATTTGCCAATTGTTCATTTAAATTCATATTAGTATTAATATTCATGGTCTAACTTGAATACCATTAAATATTGTTTTCAACACGGAGGTTATTCAAGGTGCGTTTGCTAATAAAACGTGTAAGGAATAATCGGAAAATTATAAAATGTTAGTTGATATTTACCTGTCGAACTGTTTTAAACTTATGAACGTAAACCGAAAACCATATCGTTCATAAGCGTTCAGCTTTGAATCTTGCCTACCAAATCCTGGACTAATTTCAGCTCGTCACATTTTAAGAGAAATCTTATCGTAAAGGTAAACCGAATTTTTGTTTCTCTACCTTTTTTCGTTACCTTTTGCTGACGGCTTCCGCCTTGTGCTGCTCTCAATTGCTCAAAAATTCCTTTACGGAGCCTAAACTTACTTTGCGCTAGCTAGATGATTGTAACACGATATTTGAGCAATTTGATTTTTATAGTAAAATTGTCTATAATATAATTCAAATAGACTTGTAGTTGTATCACTCACGCTCCTCCCAGTGATAGGCAGAGAATCTTGATTGTGGATACCAATTTCCTCTTGGAGAATGAAAGCCGAAGGTGCAGAGAAGGGAGGCGTTTAGGTCGTTGGGGAACTAGGAAAATTTTGTACAATTATGCCGAGTAAGAAGCAGAGCTTTTCATAACTTATTTATCAATTATGACGTTATGAGGAGAAAATATTGATATAAACTTGAAAGCTCAACCTTGAATATTCTTGAAAATGAACCTTTTAGAATACTTATGAATATTACTGAACCTTTTTGAATACTTATGAATACTACCCATGATTCGATAAGGTTAAGGCAGCAAAAGCTTTTAGATTGGGTTTAGTAGTGCCTCTCATATAAAAATTGTGATTTTCAGTAATGTATTTTTCAATAATCTTAGAACTATTAAGGATGTTTAAGCCTAATACACTATACTGTTTCATTACTTACGATAAAAAGTTTTTCGTTAAGTTGGAATCGGATCCGACCGGTACTGTCAACCAATTCGTCAAATTCTCTGCGGTCGGATGAGTACGACATCTTGACGCTTCGAAAATTCGAGCTTCGTTGTAAGGCAGATGCTTCCGTAATGCTAGATGGGGTCACCGGGTCCGGTGCTTCCAACCAACGTTCACGGCCTAATGTGGCGTCAAAANAGCCACATTTCCAGCACGCATTCAAATGATGAGAAATTAATATTAACTGTGCATAATGTCACCGTTGATATTTTGTCAATTTTAAAACTGAAATTTGAATGATGGGCAATCAATAATCAATATGAAGCATACCGTGAGATTAGATATGCGATCTGAGCTGTAGATTTTGCCGGCGCAGTCTTGGGTGAAGGATGAGAATTTCAGTGACACTCCGTCAGCGATGTAGCGCTTGGGCACTTTTTCCAGGCAGACATCAGTGCCAGACACTTTTTCCAGGCAATTAAATGGATGAATTAAATCAAAGAATGTTTTTTGTCATGCGTTAAATTAATTAATTATAATATGCAATAAACGCCTTTTATTATTATGGTGACTATTGAAGGCGCTATGACGATTTTCGTCGACGATTCTAAAATTGTAAATAGATGCAGCAATTTTATTGAAAAACAAATAATTTTTTCTAAATGGAGTTTGAAAGTATTTTAAAAAACTATGAAGAATATTTTAAAACTATCCTGAAAAACTGACTATCTTTAAAAACTATCCTGAATATTTTAAAGCATTTCTGGGGCACAGGAATTTTGCAGAAGGGAGGTAGGACAAAAATATTTCAGCTCGGTACAAATGGAAGGGAAATTGCAACTTATCACTGTTATTTAATTAATATTAATTAATAATATTGAAGAATAATTATTTACTAAGAATATTTAATAATAGTAACAGTAATAAATAAATATTAATAATATCAATTATTCATTTTCATCGTTGATAATTCTCGATTCCTGTCACAATTTTCAAAATGTCATTGTTCAGCATTTCAATAATCCCAATAAATGATGGAAATCTACGGTGAATCGTGATATTCGTAGATTTCGGCAATGAAATCTTCAATGAATTTTAGTGTTTCCAACTGCAGCAAATTATTTTGAAATATCCGTGGCGGTTAAGGTCGTATCTTATAGCTGTATGTAGAGAATTTCTTTTAAAGTAATTTTCTTCATCATTCACAAAACATGATTGAATTACTCTTAAAAATTCCTACATAAAGCTATTCTAAGCTATTAGTCACCTGCTTCTATCGTTGAGATAGCGACGGAACACTCAACGTGAAGCTGGTCTAACATTTTCCTTGCCACATCATACACCTTTGTCTCCTAATTAAAAATCTATTCTGTGCAGCGCAGTCTAAATTTTCCAATTCGAATTACTATTTGCAAGTTATTATTTGCCAATTGTTCATTTAAATTCATATTAGTATTAATATTCATGGTCTAACTTGAATACCATTAAATATTGTTTTCAACACGGAGGTTATTCAAGGTGCGTTTGCTAATAAAACGTGTAAGGAATAATCGGAAAATTATAAAATGTTAGTTGATATTTACCTGTCGAACTGTTTTAAACTTATGAACGTAAACCGAAAACCATATCGTTCATAAGCGTTCAGCTTTGAATCTTGCCTACCAAATCCTGGACTAATTTCAGCTCGTCACATTTTAAGAGAAATCTTATCGTAAAGGTAAACCGAATTTTTGTTTCTCTACCTTTTTTCGTTACCTTTTGCTGACGGCTTCCGCCTTGTGCTGCTCTCAATTGCTCAAAAATTCCTTTACGGAGCCTAAACTTACTTTGCGCTAGCTAGATGATTGTAACACGATATTTGAGCAATTTGATTTTTATAGTAAAATTGTCTATAATATAATTCAAATAGACTTGTAGTTGTATCACTCACGCTCCTCCCAGTGATAGGCAGAGAATCTTGATTGTGGATACCAATTTCCTCTTGGAGAATGAAAGCCGAAGGTGCAGAGAAGGGAGGCGTTTAGGTCGTTGGGGAACTAGGAAAATTTTGTACAATTATGCCGAGTAAGAAGCAGAGCTTTTCATAACTTATTTATCAATTATGACGTTATGAGGAGAAAATATTGATATAAACTGGAGCTCAACCTTTAATATTATTGGAAACGAACCTTTTTGAATACTTCCACGATTCGATAAGGTTAAAAGGCAGCAAGAGCTATTAGATTAGGTTTAGTTGTGCCTCTCATATAAGAATTGAGAATTCTAGTGATGTATTTTGCAATAATCTTTGAACTATTAAGGATGTTTAAGCCTAATACACTTATTACACTTTTACACTATACTGCTTCATTACTTACACTTAAAAGTTTTTCTTTAAGTTGGAATCGGATACGTCCGGTACTGTCAACTAATTCTTCAAATTCTCCGCGGTCGGATGAGTACGACATCTTGACACTTCGAAAATTCGAGCTTCGTTGTAAAGCAGATGCTTCCATAATGCTAGATGGGGTCACCGGGTCCGGTGCTTCCAACCAACGTTCACTGCCTAATGTGGCGTCAAAATACCTTATCCCACAAAATGCTGATCCTCTGGGGTAGGCGAATGGAGACTTGTATGAAAATACGTAAGAACAATTGTTTGAGGAGATCGAATGGTAATCGTATTCGTTCAAGTTTATATCTGTTGATGAGAAAGAAAATTCATGTTGTTTAAACTGTGATAACTTTCCCTGAAAATATATTGATGAGCACAATCACATATAAGATTGTATGAAACGAGACAAAAAGAAAGATCAATATTAATAAACTAAATACATTACACAAGGCAATGGGCATTAAAAACTATTTATTCAATTTCATAATAATTGATAACGAATTGAGGAAAGCAGGGGTGCCAGAGTGGCTCAATTCACCAGTTTCACCATTTTAATAGAAAATAAATTCAAAATGTAACAAAAAAATTCTCGCAACAGCGCAATAATGGGTATTAAAAATTGTACATTCAATTTCACAATTATAGGTTACGAATTGAATAAATGGGACGTGCGTAAGTGGGTGAGTTTAATGATTCGATTCAGCGCAGGCGTAGCGCCGGGATGACCCTCACAGTAGCCCATGCAAACGCTCACGCATTTCTGTCAATTTGGTAAGGCAGCCACGTTTTCATAACTAAAGAGTAAAGACAAGGCAATAAGGATGAACTTAAGGATAACTATTACCATTACCTATTACGAAGAGTTCAAATTTGAGGGTATCCGTGCCAGCGCTGGTGCGCACCGTGCAACTGTAGATGCCGTACGACTCCCGGGAGGGGGCGGGGATAGGGTAAAAGTCTGACGTTACTTCCCCGGCCGTCACATCTGCTTGAATTTCGGTAATATTCAGAGAAAGTTTTTTCTCAGAATGTATTTTTGATGAGTGATGACAAAGGCTTTGTGTAAGCATGTGGTGAGAACCTTTATGATCAGAATATATTTTTAACGAATGACGAACAAGCTTATGTGTAAGTGCGTGTTAGGCACAAGGAAAAGAAGATTGAGTTGGTATCATTTGATATGCGGATGCAAGGGCCTCAAGTATCAAGTTCTATTTACATTTAAAATAAAAATTAATCTGTTCAATTTACTTGGTTTTTATTATACGTCCATAACATGTCAGTTCACGCACCACAACCAGCTCAGCCACACTGCATCACCATCCCCACGAGCCCGGAATTCTACTCCACGTTCTCAGAATTAACAATTCTGAGCATGAAATGTATAAATATTAAACATCAATAATTAGTAAATATTAATAAGCAATACTTTTTAATAAGTAATAAACATTTTTAAATATTTTTCGTACTCGGTGTAGAACTTTTAAGCATTCGGCCCCCGAGCACCCACACGACCTCCTCCAAGATCTCGCCCTGGTCCAGGATAAATCGACACTCCAAGGCAGTGTCGTTAGCGGGGAGGTAAAGTGCGTCGCTTCCGTTCAGACGCACTTCTACGATGGACACCGACTGACCGCCTGGAATAAATGACAGGGCACTTTGAATTAAATGTTATATATGAAATAGAAATTGGTAAGTTTTTTATGATGGTTTGGAGGTGCATTCTGAGTTGTGCAAAATGGTTGGCCTTGAAATTAGATGAACAGAGATAAAGAAGCTGGCTCATGAATGAGATGATTTCATGTTATCTTGATGAGTCATGCAGGATTATCAAAGTCCACTTGAAACTCTGTTCAAAATTATTTTGAAGCGTATTGGTGAAAAATTTCATTAAGATATATCTGTAAAAAGCACAAGTTTTTTTACAGATATTTCACTTTTTTACAGATAAAAAAGTTATCTGCGCAATTATTGTAGAGAGTTTAGAAGCATGTGATCATAGCCAGGTAACCACTTGATTGTACTGCATAAAATTCAAATTGGAACTATTTTTTTACATGCGACTTTTTTGGGCATTAAAATTGGAACCACTTTTCAACTTCAAAAAATCGAAACGCACAGAAGACACGCTACTGCTAGGGAGAATCAAAATTTTTAAATTTCGTACAGCATTATCTCCTTATTCCAATAAAGTTTTCTTTGCCGTGGTTTGCATGCCGAATTGGAAGGTGCGGTCGATCATACGAACCCCTAGAGTGTGTTTCACATTTATTACTTTATTGCATAACCAAATTTTATTATTATAACAGCTTATCAATTTTTATGATATGAATGAATAATAACTTGTATTGTATACTTTTTATTGCTAGTTCCTCTCCTATAAGGTTCGATGTGAACCCCACCGGTTCCGACAGCATAAAAGTTAGTTAAAAAGCGTGATGCACATTAAAGGCTTATAATTCAATATATCTATAGAAATACGCCCTTGTCAGTTGTGCGTGGTGCAGCGAAAAGTAATAAAACAATTACTTCATCATATAACTTATAACTATTTCCTGCCTGATAAGAATAAGAAAAATGTCACTTATTCATGCCATTATTCGTAGTGAATGGAGAAGCAAACAGTGTTCATCATTTCATTTTTAATTAATTTTACTAAACCTCTCAAGGAGCACGAGAAATTGAACTTACAGTGACAAAAGATTCAATTTTTCATAATGCGCGATAAAGCGAACAGTTATGATACGGCACTTACTCAAGAAATATACTCATATGAAACATGCTTTCATGTGGAATATGTTCATATGGAAACTCACCGGACGGAAAGAGTAGTATCAGTGATGCGACGGACGCTAGGATAGCTCCTGCAGGATTCGCCATCGGTTAGGAATGACTTGATTTATGTACGCTCGATGTTTTCTTTACACAAAAATTATCCTATAAGACTAGAAACTGGCAACCATGAAACGACGTACAGGAAATAAAGCCTGGAAAGACATAATTATTTTCATTGTAACTGTTTTATATGTTCGGTAAAATTTACATTTTTAAATTCAGTGCATTTTGCATTCTGTATAACTGCCATAGAATAATTACTTAATCATCCCCAGGCTGTCGTATACGAGTATCTTTATAACTGCATTGCGTATAATATATTGATTACGACCGTGGTGACGCATGTGTATTTTTTAACGTTTGCGTCACTTCCTGCTGATACAGCGTCATCTGAAGTAACGCGCAGCAGAGGTGTATTTATTATGAATTTTATCAGGAAATTCAAGATGTTGTAGAGATATTACCGGAATAGGGATAGTGAATTATAGGGATATTATCAGAATAGGGAGAGTTTTTATATGGATGTCATCAGAATAGAAATAATGCATTATAGATATGTTATCAGAATAGGAATAGTTTAATGCGGTGATATTATCAGAATAGGATTATTTTATTATAGGGGTATTATCACAATAGGGATAGAGTATTAAAACATGGATATGTTCAGAATGGGAATATTTTATTAAAGGGACATTATCAGAAAACGCTCGGGCATCCTGATCTTCTTCAGCATGTCCTCGAAAATGACTTTAACAAGAATAAATAATTTCAACGTAAAATGCACTTCTTTTATATACATATTATTTATCCCTCTTATTCATCCTTTCATTTAGAAATTATCCTGGGGGTAAATTTTTCTTCAGCCAATTTGTCTTACTTTCAAGAGGTAGGACTGAACGTACCATGCCGAATTTTAATAATTGTACAAAATATAATAAAAAGAACTCTTCATAAATATTTATCAACGAAAGTTGACTTCATGATTCCCGAAACGTAAATTCGGTTAAACCACAGAACACATAAAAATAATTTGCCTTAAAAAGTAACAGTGAAGGTCCATACTTTTTTCAAAAAATTGAAAATGAAATTATTTGTTAATGGTTGAAGTAAATGCATGGATTTACTCGCTTAACATTATAATTAAGAAATATATAACTCAGTGACAGAGAGCGCAGTGAGTGACAGAAAGCGCATTTTCTCGTCGACGAAAACATGAAGTCAATTGGACGGACAGAACGGACGGACAGACGGACATGGCGAGCACAATAGTGCATTTTTTCATAAATGAGAAAATGCGCTAAAAAGTTAATTCAGTCAAAAATCTTGGGGCTATTTTCAAGCTAACCTATATATGATCTTCGTAATTTATATTATGCATTGTTATGATTATGCATATCAATGAGAGAAAGAGTTTATTCGGCGATGAAATGCGCTGCATGTATTCCTGCCAACACGCCTTGACGCGTTTACACTAATTACTTTGGTACGATCTGTAAGGCAAAGAACATATTTCATTTATCCCATTCATTCGATTCTAACTTAATATCGTTTGCTAGTGAAGTCATCACAATGGTATAGTTTACGAAGGTTGTAGACAGTTAAAACATTTCAATAATCAATTTTAAATTGTCGTTTTAAGTGCATACGAACATATATTTCACGATAGCTAGATATTTGCAGTGATTTTTTATGTTACAAAACATACGGTGGCAGAGATCTCGTCGAGGCATGTGCCAACTTATCAACGAGACGTCTGAACCTACAGTTTCAATGCTGCAATTATGTTGCCTTGATAGTGACATCATACAGGATTAAAAAAAGAAATGAGATTGATTCTGAGATAACGTCTAATTCATTGATATTATAAAATGTGTCTAAATTCAAGTATTAGTCGGGATAGATTTTTACTGCTGAGCCACAGCACGCGCGGAGCTGAAAGCTTGTAAAATAGTCAGAAAATACGCAAGGTTGGGCGTTCAGATATATCGTATACTTTGCTTATATACCGTATACCTTGCTTATATACTTTACATTCAGATACACCGTATACCTTGCTTATATACTTTACATTCAGGTACACCGTATACCTTGCTTATATACTTTACATTCAGATACACCGTATACCTTGCTTATATACTTTACATTCAGATATACCGTATACCTTGCTTATATACCTTAAATCTTGCTAGGTTAGAATTAAGAGCAGGTATCATCACAGCCAGACTGTTGCCCTTTTGCCGATGGCGTAGTGATGCCACTCAGGCGAGTGCCACCTGTTGCTATAGAGCGCGCTACATGCATACATCACTCGAAATAAGTGGGTAATGTTGTGCAAATTAGGATACACTTGCAGCACGTAGCGTTGATACGCTCTTATGCCGGGCAAAAGTGGACTAGGATGATTTACGCAGGGGCAAGATGTGCATCGCTATTTGGAAAAATTCTTTCAATTTTTATGAGAGTGCGCTCACTGTTGTCAACGAATATTTAGCTCCGTGTGCTATATGTTAGATTAAACTTACCAGGTGAGAGCATCTGTTAACTGAAATAGTGTATAATATAATATAATATAATATAATAGTGCTACAGGTGTATTTAATTGGGCGCTCCAAACTCTGTCGTTTCATTGATAATTATTTCATCAACGAACTGGTATGAATTTTGTATCAAAAACGTCAGAGGAAAGAAAGTGGAAAATTTTACTCAATATTTCCAAATCACAAATTTCCTCGAATAAAAAAATATGAGGTTTAATTGAATTTACGGAAAATATCAAATGGTGAAAATTTTTAACTTCTAAGGCGTGTAATTTGCACGCATCTTGAAAAATAATTTTCGTGGGAGTGTGAGAGAAAAGTGGCATGGGTGGCCTACTTAACCCGATCCTGGAAGTCATCTTATTCACCCTTTCACTTTCAACTCTGACATTTCCAGCATAGTTTAACTTCAAACATAGAAATATTTCATATATAATTTATACTTTAACTTCTAAACTACTTTAACTACTATACTTTAACTTCTGTTATAATTTATTATTTAACTTTTAACATAGAAAAACATTGATTAAATTCAGAATAAATTTATGAATTTGGTTGCTGGAATTTCAATTTTGACTCAAGTCGTCCCAAGTTGCGGGCTTTTCAGTTGACCTTCAGACGTCCAGGTCAAATTAAACCTGAGAGTGAGTCATTATGAATGAGAATGCGCCATTAAGAATGTAAATGAGTCATTCAGAATGAGAATGAATCGTAATGAATGAAATTGAGGCACTTTTTGCAGCTTAATTTTTAGATGAATCTGCCAAAAACTAAATAACCTTATTTAGTTTTTGCTTCATTATCAAACTACGAAATAACATCGCGGAAGAGTATGTGAAAAGTTGATAAATGTGCAGAACCGTAAGCGTTGGTAAGCCAGACTGAAAATTCGAAGCAAATAATGTTCCTGAAATTCGCTCGGCATGCATGCTAATAATGATAATAATAATGTTTACATCAAATAAAACTATTTCATTTTTTTGACTCTTAATATCAGTTTTGAACTGAATTTTTGAATTATAAATCCATTTTTTGAAATGAGTCATCAATCCTGATGATTTTTCAGACTCCGCCGTTTCAAATATATTCAAGTATCCTCCGAAATAACGATCATCCGCCACGTGACTTTATTTATAAAGTGCGCTTCTTAATGCATCGTTACATAACTCCGTAAGAATAAGTACAATTAGCTCATTAAATAATCATAAATGAGAGTCGGCTACTTATACGCTATTTTTTAACGTTTTCAGGCCGTTATTTCCTGTTGCAGCGAGCACGAACTTTTACCTCTTGTATCCAACATAAACCTTGTCACAAAAAAGATACCTTAGTTATGATTAGCATTTAATCACATTATCCAACGAAATTCCGACAAATTTAAACGTTCGACATCTGGTGATGACAACCGCGTAGATAAATGAATATAACCATCACTTTGGAATAACATAATTTTCAAAATTTATTGTGCAAGAAGAAATGCAAACTATCATTTGAGTGCTCATATAATCAGCATTTAATGGAATTCATAATTTCCTGACATTTGTATGAATTAATATAGTGGTCTTTTATTCCGGTTTTTACGCGCGAAAAACGAATAAAAACTTGATTCCGGCGATGAAGTTTGATTGAATCATAGCGGTAACGCCAGTAGCCGACAACAGGTGCAATATAATTCATATGATTCTTCACACTTTCACTTGCACGTTAGTCGCAGCAGGACCATGCTTAAGCTGGATGGAAACTACAACGAACATAAATAAATAATATTGCCCATTTTCTTACGACGTTAGTTATTCCGTCCGGACATGAAGCGACCTAACCCATCATTCCCACACACCCTCTCTCTGATCACCGCGCCCCAGCAGCACCACCTTCTTATACGGGGTCTTGAGTACCACTGCGTGCCAACGAAGGTGTGGTTCAGAAGGAAGCAACCTCAGTCCAATGCCGGTAGTTTTGATTTCCCTTATCTCTTGCAATGAAATGGCCGGAAATTCAGCAATGATGTAATGCGTGCAATATAAAACGAGATCTTGCGCACAACTTTTTAACTGACGCACACTACAGATCCGATTATTGATTGATGTACAAATTGATGCAAAACAACTGACGGTTAGCTTTCCTGCGGCATATTTTGTTAGAAAAACTACGATGTTTCCAGAAATTTTGGCATCCCACAGACTCACTAATAATGCATCATTGCTTGATGGTGCATGTAAAAGAAACCGACAGCAGTTAGCTTGTGGTCCGAGCTCACTTTGTACCTTTGTATGTACCGGTACTCCGCTACTTTATGACCGTAATAGGATTATGTCCGACACACTCATGATGTTATACAATCAAACATCACTAAGTGAACGCTGGTGAGATATGAACTCAGGTTCATGTTATGACGGTTTGAATAGTTGAGTAACGCAATTATTTAAACATAGTTCTGAAAGTTATGAACATTGAATTTGAGCGCATTCTACTTTGGCGTGATATTTGCAGGAGGAAAGATTCACATATGATGCATTTGCTGCGGATGGAATCTGTCCGGTGTACGTAGAGATGCTTGGCTGCGATGTCAGCAATTTCACTAATGTTTACCAACAATTTTATCCGAGTTACCTGAGCAGTGATCAGCACGACACTTCCAACCAAACTGCGG